TGGTTCACGCTACGCTGTTGATTGATGCTGCGCCCTTGGTTGAAGGTGTGCTGTTGGTTGACACTGCGCTGTTGGCACTACGTAACGTTGACACTGCGCTGTTGACACTACGCTGGTGACACTGCGCTGTTTGTCGATATTTGTGTTCGCGCGGCGTTTTCGACGATCGCGGCGTTATGCATTGAGTGAGCGTCGTCAACATCGCGCTGTTGACACTACGCTGTTGACACTACGCTGTTGACACTATGCTGTTAGTTGAAATTGCCAGTCAAGGCGCGTTCTCGATGATCGCGCTGTTTTCCGGTGACAGCACGTCCTAGATACTGAATTATTCCGGAGTTTTTCTTGTTCCAATTAACACTGGAGTCATTGTTCCAAAGCCAAAAACATGATTTCCGGATGTTTCATGAGAGGCGAGTTAACCTGATAATTCTTAGTCGTATATATATAGATAGTCTAACTGAGAGACGGTTTCAGATAAACTTGTTTTGAGAGACGTTTCTCATCATATACGGCTTCTCATGAGAGACGGTTTCTCACTAGAGACGATTTTATTTGAAGGAACTCTATGGGAGACGACTTCTTATCAGAGACGCCTTCTCAAGACAGAAGTGTATACCGACTTTTTTGACCGAACTGGTTTCAATATGAGAAACGATTTGTTATGAGGGGCGATCTTCCATGCCATAATATTTCACATGAGAGTGACAACAATGATACATTGTTTTGAGTGGGAGGCGGGATTAGATGCGATTTGTACTGTTATGACAGATTTTTTATTAGAGACGACTCTTTACGAGTGATGGCTTTTATTGAGACACTGAACGAAGCGCCCGTCGCGCCCAGATCTGTCCAGAACGGGTTTCGTGCAATTCGTCGAATTTAAACTGCGTCGTTGATGGTCGCGTTGTCGAAATTGCGCTGTCTAGACTACGCTGTTGAATTTTGACAATATTCATCACACGGTACACTGATGCTTGACAGTACGCTGTTGGTTCAGACTACGTTGCTTGAGGTTACGCTGTTGGTCGACACTATGTTGTTGACATTACGCTTTTGAAATTATGTTGTTGACGTTGCGCTGTTGAAAGTGTGTTTCTGGTTGTTGACAATACCATTCACACGGTGCATTGTTGTTTGACAGTACGCTGTTGGTTCAGGCTGCGTTCTTTGAGGTTACGCTGATGGTCGACATTACGCTGTTGACACTACGCTGTTGACACCACGCTGTTGACACTGCGCTGTCGAGAGTACGTTGTTGATGGTTGTTGACAATGCTACTCACGCGGTGCACTGTTGCTTGACAGTGCGTTTTTGTTCAGGCTATGCTGATTGATGTAACGTTGTTGATTGGCACTACGCTGTTGACGCTACGCTATTGACACCACGCTGTTGACACTGCACTGTTGACAGTACGCTGTTGGTTGTTAACAATACTACGCGGTTGATGTTTGACAATACTACTCACACGGTGCACTGTTGCTTGACCTCACGTTGTTGGTTCAGGCTGCGTTTTTTGGGTTTACGTTGTTGGTTGATACTACGCTGTTGACACTATTCTGTTGACACCGCACTGTTGACAGTGCGCTGTTGATTGTTCATAATGCTACTCACACGGAGCACTGTTGGGTGACAGTACGCTGCTGGTTCAGGCTACGCTGCGTGCGATTACGCCGTTACTTGGCATTTTTCTGCTGACGCTGTGCTGTTGACAGTACGCTGTTGTCACTGCGTAGTTCAGAATACGTTGTTGGTGGTTGACAGTGCTACTCCCACGGTGCACTGCTGCTTGACAGTGCTCTGTTTTTTCAGGCTGCGTTGTTCGAGTTCACGCTGTTGGTTGGCACTATGCCGTTGACACTACGTTGTTGACACTACGTTGTCGACATTGCGCGGTTGACATTGCGCTGTTGGTTGTTGACAATACTACGCGTGCGGTGCACTGTTGCTTGACAGTGCGTCGTTGGTCCTATGCTGTTGACAATACGTAACGTTGACACTGCGCTGTTGACACTACGCTGTTGACACTACGTTTTTTTTTGAGATGACTATTCGTGCGGTGTTTCCGACGATCGCGGCGTCATCCATTGACCGAGCGTCGTCAATATCGCATCGTTGACATTGTGTTGTTGGCGCTACGATATTGACACTACGCTGCTGCTCGACAGTGCAGGTCAAGCGGCGTTCTCGATGATCGCGTTGTTTCCCGGTGACCGCACGTCGTCGAGATTTAATTTTTCCAGAATTAATTTTTGGTCTGAGGAAACACACAACTGCACGATTATTAACGGAATGTTTGTTCCAAAGTGAAGAGCACATGATGTCCGAATTTCTCATGAGAGGCGATAGTTCGCGAAATATGATTTACCATGAGTGTTTTCCGAATCCTATTTTGTTTTGAGTTAGGAACGTTTTCGGATAAGAGACGATCGCTCGTGAGAGGCGTTTCTCACGAGAGACGGTTTCTCATGCGACACGGCTATTGCAACGATTTCTTATGGGAGACGATTTTTTTATCAGAGACGCTTGTCATGAGGGAAAATGATAAGCGTATTTGAAGAGAGACGGTTTTAAGATGAGAAGCGGTTTGCTACGAGAGACGATCGTTCACGAAAAATATATTTTCATGAGGTTCTAGAAAACGGATGAATTGTTTTGAATGGTTGACGGGATTCGATGTGATATGTTTTGCCATGACGGGTTTTCATGAGGGACGGCTTTGGTTGAAACGGTGAATGAAGCGCCCGTCGTGCCCAGATCTGTCCCGAGCAGGTCTCGTACAAATCGTTGAATTTCAGCGGCGTCGTTGATGATCGCGTTGTCGACATTGCGCTGTTGATGATACGTTGTTGTTTGTTGACAGTACTACTCACACAGTCCAGTGTTGCTTGACAGTACGCTGTTGGTTTGGGCTACATCACTTGAGGTTACGCTGTTGGTTGACACTGCGTTGTTGACACCACGCTGTTGACACTACGTTGTTGACACTGCGCTGTTGAGAGTACGCTGTTGATTGTTGACAATACCACTCACACGGTGCACTGTTGTTTGACAGTACGCTGTTGGTTCAGGCTGCGTTCTTTGAGGTTGCGCTGATGGTTGACACTACGCTGTTGTCACTACGCTGTTGACACTACGCTGTCGACACTACGCTGTTGACACTACGCTATTGGCACTACGCTGTTGGCACTACGCTGTTGCCACTACGCTATCGACACGACGCTGTTGACATTACGCGGTTGACACGGCGCTATCGGCACTACGTTGTTGATTGAATTCGTTGTTAAAACGCGTTCTCATTTGGTCATGGTACTTGCAGGTGGTCGTAGTTGTAGTCGCAGGGCTCCATTTGCACCTGGTATTTGAACAGGCCCACGTCCACTGTGCTGCCAGGAGGGATCAGGATCTCGTTGTGGTTCATCTCGCCCGTCGGCTCGAAATAGCATTTGCCGTGAACGAACTTGGGGCAATTCTTTGCCGTCGTGTAGATGTACCAGGAGTGTGGTACGAGGAACTCCGGCTTCAATGGTACCAGCTCGTTCGCGATGTCGTGTGTTGCGCCTGGGCGCCTGTCGACCTGTGCATATCCTTAGTCTCCAGAGGCCTTGTACACGCGCAAGAGTTTGTTCTGGTACCGCTTGATGTAGTGCTTGACGGCGTCGTTGACTTCGGCTGAAGTAGGTGACGTCCTTGTTGTTGCAGTGGTCGTACTCTTGCGAGTGCACCTTGACGAGGACCTGTCGCCACTTGTTCTCGTAATCGTCCGCCGTTTCCTCATCGGCCTCGTACAGGATCGCATCTGCGTCATAGATGCTTACCTCATGTGGAGTCCGTGCTGCGTGGTACCGCCGGCGACTTCAGAAGTACGGTACTGCACGAGGACAGCCGTTGTACCCAGCTCAGGGGCCGCGGTGCTTCTGTACCAAGAGTCTGTACTAGAGTGCAGGTCTCTCAATCGAAAAGCGGCTGCGGTCATGTGATGGTTCTTGTAGTTGTATGATGTATGATCATACCTGTCCCTTGGTATCCCGTGGTAGGATCTTGATTTTCTTATCCTCTTCCTCCTCCTCCCTCATCCCCCCTCCTCATTCTTTTCCCTCCTCCTCCTCCTTCTCCCTCCCGGCCCGGGGGCACCCGAGTGGGCTTCCCCGCTTCCCCGAAGGTCCGCAAGAGGTCCCGAATGCGCTTCCTGAGAGCTCCCGCAGCGACCCCCAAGAAGTTTCGGGAGTTGCCTCGCTGGCATGCGGCGTTGCCCCGATCCCGAGATCCGGGCGTTGTGTTTTCGCCTGCTTTCGGGCCCCGGGACCATCACCCCTACCCAGCTCGGAGCCAGCAGTTCTCCCGCCAAGCGGGCACCGACCTGGTGGGTGTTGTCTGGGGCGCCCTGCGGAGATTCGCCGCGCTGCTACTGGCCCATCCCCGGGTCGCGCCCCCGCCCCTCCTCGTCAGCCACAGCGTCAGATTCCTCCTCATCGCGCTCATCCTCCCTCCGCTTTCCCCTGATATCCCAGCGTTCTCCCTCGGTTTCGGGCCCTGGGACCGTCACAGATCGATCCGGCGTCAGACTGGCACAGTTGCACAGCGCTCCGCACAAACATTCCTCCCACGCCCGAGCCATCACAGCTAATGGCCAAGCTTTCCGAACACCCCGGATTGAATCGGCTTCCAGTTCAGAGTCGGGCCTGAGCCTCATCTTCGTGAACTCCCGCGCTGGAGCCCACGCGCTCCAGCACTAAGAGTCTAAGAGCCACACTGGCTCCAGCTGATTGCTTGGTTCGCCGTCACAGCAGCTCCTCGCTTCAGCATCGTCTGAACGATCCCCATCCCCACTGGGCCACGGCATCTGAGCCCCACCAGCCCACACCCCCAGTTGGGGATAGGACCCGCGACGCCTGAAGGGAATCGGCCAGTGGGGCCCAGGTCATGCCAGTGTGGATGGGGATCGGTCACATGATGCTCCTTGCTGACTGCTCCGGGGTCACTCCTGACAGCCCGCCCACATGCCCAGCCGGAGGGAGAGCCTGGAGCTGGTCCATGCCGGGCGGGTGCTGGAGCTTGACGAGTCCCAGTCGGAGGAGTCCGAGAGCACCGACGAGGAGGCGCCGTCGCGGCCGGCCTGGGTGTCGCTGCAGCCGGCTCTTGTTGCCAGCGCTGCGTTGTGCGTGCTGTTCGTGACGGTCCTGGCAGTGAGCGCAGGCTCAGGAGACGTGGAGGCAAGACTTGGGCGTCTGCGTGGCGCCGCTGGCGTGCCAAGCGGCATGGTCAGCGCACCCGCTTCGTGGTCAAAGTCGGCAGCAGCGGCAGGCGGCGTCATGACAGCGGGCTTGCTGAAGGTGTCTTTTGGCTGCGTCGGACACTGTTGCGGCGTGATCTTCAATACATTCGGCAGCTGCGTAAATTCTTGCTGGACTGGAGTCATGAACTGCACAGGTTCGATCTGCGGAGCTTTCAGCGGCCTTGTGGGGGCGTGCTGCAACGCAGTCGGAGCTTGCTTTGGCTCACTCTGCAACTCGCTGACTGCATGCTTAAAAGGCTGCCCGCTCTGTGGAGACGCGCTAGCAGGCTGCAGTAAGGGAGCAAGCCATTGCATCGGGGGCATCTATGTCTCAATCGGGAAGTGCTTCTCTTCAATGTGGCAAGGTTTGTCGAGTTGCATCCTCGGAATCTGTGACAAGTGCGCTGGGTGCGTCGCCTCTATGTACAACTCGATCGTTGGCTGTTTCGCATCTATTTGGGGCAGTTTCGACAGATGCTGTGCATCTTGCTGCTCCTGCTGCTACTGAGTATCAGCCTTGGATTGTCGCCCGCCTACGGTTTGACGGCTGTTCCGGGATGACGGTTGTAGGAGCCCGGGACGCATTTGTTGCAGTTGCCGCCAGTTCTCTCTTCCCCATCCTCCTCCTCCTGTTCCGATCCTCGTTGCTCGGTGTCACAAATTTCGTGGAAGTTCCTTCCCCTCAGTGGGAAGCCTGCACAGGACGAGCTCTGCCTTGCAGGAGAGTTCGAGTCGGCGGCGTTGCTTCGTGGCGAGGCGTTTCGACCCAATGGGAGTCAACAGCACTCTTCTGCGGGATGAAACATGTTCAATAGGTTTTTTGGCTTTTGCTTTGCTTCGATGGCTGTCCATACGCTTGCTCTGGGAGACCCTCCAAAAGCATAGACACATCCAAATCTCGATGGTCGATCATTACTCGTCCTTCTCTTCTCCCATCGGCTTGGACAATCGGCGGTGCTTGGCTGCCGTCGGCAACTTCTTCCCAGAATCCTCCCAAACTCCCCCTTCCCGCTGACCGACAGCGAGAGCCTTCCTCACATGGAACCCGCGTTGCAGTGGCAATATCCCGGCACCCTACGAGCTATGCCATGCCAACCATTCGATACGCTAGGTACATCATCCAGGGATTTACCCATCTACCCAGCACGGTAGGTTCGCGATATCGTTCGTTTTGCGGGGAAGCCGCTGCGCTATCAGCATCAGGGGTGCAGAGAACGGGAACGTTCCAACGAATGACTTGTATCATTACACCCCAGGCGGAGGGGTAACGAGGAAGGCAGACACGTAGCAGGGGTGCGAGGCAGATCTGCTACGCGAATATCTCCAGATATGCATCAACTTTCGAGCGTGTTCTTCGCTGAGCGTCTGGTATAGATGTGACTCTGATTGTGAGCGAGTCTGAATACGTGTACGATGCGAATGGGTCTGGGTGCGAGAGAGCCTGATCAGTTGCACATTACCGGCTCTGGGTATGAAAGCATTTGGATGTGGACGTGAAGGAATATGTGCAAGTCTGGCCATTCGTGGGCGTCTGGAAGGTCCCCACACTTTGTGCGCGATCGGATCTGTGTCGGCGAGCAATGCGTGCTACATCGCTGTGGTCATGTGACGCTGGGAAGTTCTTTAGCTGGGCGCGTGGCCGCGACGCCAAAAAGTGTGTGTGTGTGTGTTTGTGGGTTTGTGTGTTTGTGTGTTTGTGCGTTTGTGTGTTTCTGTGTTTGTGTGTGTGTGTGTGTGTGTGTGTGTGTGTGTGTGTGTGTGTCGACCCACCGAGGGGACAGCTCCCAAAGCACGAACTACGAGGGCAGCCAAGCACAGGGTTTGGGCCTCCAAGGGCCCTTTGGCACACGAGTGGCCAGAAACCAACCACGTGCCAGACGTTGTCACCTAGGACCCCGATCCGTACACAGCGCAGACAAACACAAGCACATTGCCCACACTACGAAATGCTGGCCTGGCAGGAGCACGATCAGGCGTGGCCGCCCACATCTCCCACCCATGGCCCAAGGAGCTTGTCAATCATGGAGTGGAGGCCTTGCATCAGCCTGCCGCACCTCCTGCATCTCTCGCGGCCCACGGGAGACACAAAGGGCAACGGCAGGAATCGTTCGCTCGCAATCTCCATTCGAGCCCCGCGCCCGTCTCCTAGAGGAAGAGCCGCTCTTGCGACAGAATTTAAGCGGGGGGCGAGTCGGAATCTCGTGCACCCCACCGTAGACCACAAGACTGCTCCCTCCCGCCCCGCTCCCAGCAGCAGGAGCAGCAGCAGCAGCAGCAGCAGCAGCAGCAGCAGCAGCAGCAACAGCAGCAGCAGCAGCAGGGGGGAGGCCACTGGCGGCGGCCAGCAAGCGGCGAGCTACATGGGCTCGTCTCGCCTGCTGAGCTTCGTCATACTCAGCCCCACCCGTCCCAGTCGTCCCACCCCCACCCCCACCTTCGGAAACGCCCCGTCTCGGGGATCGGCTGCCGTCTTGCTGCGTGCTGACCGCCAGCGCAGTAGCAGTAGCATCAGCGACGGCAAGGGAAGGAGAGGCGGAGGGCGGAGTAGGGCTACTACCGCATCCAGCAGCACTCGACGAGGATGCTGCCCCGAATGGGCCGGAAACTACGGGCCCAAATGTTGGCTCATTTTCTTGCTGTTTCCCCCGCGTGCCAACACTGCCGTCGCTGATGGGCTGGCTGCAGGGTGAGCCGCAGCACGAATCTCTGCCAACCTGGAAGCCCGACAAGGCCTAGACTCGAGAGCTCGACTAGTCTCACTAGTGAGCGCAGCACGGTTGCAAGCCAGACATCTAACGCCCTTGCCGTCCTTGACGAGCGTATGTGGTACGACAGGCAGCCTATGGGGGCGCTGGAGCGGTCTTCGACCGGCGCTCCTCCTCTCCCGATGTGTTCCAGAGCTCCGACCCAAGCACTCTCGCTCCAGCCCAGGCCACAAACCGCGCATTCATGACGGCCTCATCGAGGAGCATCAACAAACCCTTGTGGAATGACGGCGGCAGCACAACCACATGCAGAGCAACATTGGCGAAAACGTCAGCCCATGCATTACCAAGCCAGGAGAGCATCCTAACATCACCACGGCTAAGGCCTCCCATCAGTCGTTTTGTGGGACGAGGTCCACCCGACCCGCTCGATCTCGGCCCCGATGGCTCGCCAGGTCTCGGCGTGGCGTGCAGCGGCCATCACCTCCTCCCGGCTCCGGCGCTGGCCTTCCCGAACAGAAGATCAACGATCCAGCACAATCTGATTTTCACGTGGCGAAGGTCGCATTGCCTGCTGGCCTGCATACCCAGGGCCCAGCTGCTCGGGGCACAGACTGGCTCCCTGGGAGGCTTCCCAAATCGGGCTTTTGCAGGCTGGCCGGAGCCATGCAGCCGCACAGCGGCCCACGCACGTCGCGCGACCTCAGGAGTCTCCGTGCCCTGCCCAGCCTCATCCGTGTCAACAGGGCCTGCCCGGGGATGGCAGGGTCACCCCATGCAAGCAGCTGTTCTGGGGTCCGATCTGGCCTCTCCGAGCAGGGTGGGAGCAACGGCAACGCGTGAGCGTGCGCAACATAGTCGAAGGAGGTGGGGTCAGGGGCTCCAGGCACTTCCCTGCGCAGCTTCTCACGCGTATTCAGCAGGCACTTTCGCGCAGGGGCTTCCTGCTGGTCAGGGTCGGTGCCGTTGGAGTAGTCAAGCAGAGGCGGGCAGTCTAGCCATCTATGACCTAGAGTCTCTCTTGGTGCCTTACAGGCAAAACAATCTGGCTTCTGAACAAATATTGCCGATCGCGCAGCCACATCGCACCAGGCCGCAGGCACTGCAGCGCGCCAAGCTCAGCTGAATTCGATATCGCTCTCGGGCCTCGAGCACAGGCATGCAAGCCATGAAGCCAGAGCTGCTCACCATCAAACTCAGGCAAATGCTCTTGGATACTTCGAAGCTGCCAACTGTTGATACCTTGGTCCAAGAGGTCTCGAAAGTCTCGAGGGGTAACCCAAAACAGCGAGAAATACGTGTTGTCATCCATGGCTATCTCGTATGCCGGTTGCATTGGCCATCCCAATCGCTTGAGAGTCATCCAGGCTGTGGGGCTCGGGCCACGGACTTCTGACCGGCTCTCGGATATCCGCATGCGTTCCACCATATGTTCCCAGGCAGTTTGGAGTTCACACAATGGGACTCGGGCTTCCTTGATCTAATGATTCCATAAGAACATGATGCCAGTAGCTGCCTTGAACATGAGATCATACTTTGCATTAGCTTGCAATAGTAGCCCCATTGTGAGCGAAACTGCTGGCTTCCCCCCTGCAGGTGCGCCAGCTAGGGTGCGCACAAGTTTCAGAACATATTCTGCCACTCCCGTCACAGCGACACCATGTAACATACGGCGTGAGCCCAGCATGCTGAACCCTGGCCACTGCGAGCCCCAGCAGCTTCTTGAGAAAGTGTAGCCTACGTACCTTTGTACATAAGGCCTGCAGGCGCGTAGCTTCTTGCCGTCGCCGGGGCCTTGTCATGGTGAGCTCATGACCGAGGTTGCGCATCTAGAGCTTGCGAGTGGTGTTTCTGGCCGCCGCTGTTCTGGCAACGAGCTTCTCGGTGGCCACGTCCGAAGCCGCGCACCCCTACTTCTTGACCTGGACCGGTGGCTTTACCTGCCCCAAGGAACTGCCCACTTTGCCAGCTGCCTCACCAACTTCCAGAGCGCACCGCTCCGCAGGCCCTGCCCAGCGCAGAGACGGGCCGTCAGCTACACGTCGTGGCGTGACAGCGGGACAGATTGCGGACGGCCTCCTTATAGCTGCTACAGTAGTACCTATAAGATTGATGCGGCGTGTGAGCAGCCAGCAGTGATTCCTTGGAAAGGCTCGTAAAAGACCTACTCGCTAGCGTACTCCCGCACCGATCTTGGCTGGCGGTAGACCTGGAAGAACGTCCGCGTTGGCCCGAACGGGTACCCTACCGCTGCTTCACGCAGGAGAAGTTCTAGCGAGACGAGTTCGAAACATTTCCATATATCAATCATGAGTGTGACGTCTTGAGATCGTGTGCCATTGCGATTTCGCTGTCCAGGCTAAACGAGAAGGCGGAGGCCGACGAGTTTCTGCCTTGGCCTGTGCTCCAAGAGCGCCCACCGGCATGCGCAGGCCGCGGAGATTTTGCGTCTCGCCCGGCTCCAGATCCGAATCATGGAGTTCAATAAGCCTATGAGTCTTGCACCGCGGTCTGGTTTTCGGAAGCCGCGCAAGGATCGTTACCAAGCCTTCCAAGGGCCAAAACACTTGTCCTTCACAGGCAGCGGAGAATCCAGATAACACCATAAGAGCTTGATCGGATAGGTGTTCCAGCTGGCGCGGGTGTAGGCCCGTCTGCCCAACAGCAGTCTTCGCAGGAAATGTTTGCAGCGCTCGGCCTAGTTCTGCAACAGTGATGGGCTCGAGGCTGGGCCAGCTGTGCGCCTGCTCTGGTAGCACCTGGGGTCCGAGGTCGTTGTGCTTCCTCTCGTCCGTCCACTTCTCGAGCTCCTTGTCCGCTAGCTCCGTGGGCTGCCCCGTGTCATGGGTGGGGGGACATCAACCTCCTGCTGTACTCTAAGAGAATCGGTGTGCCGGCGATGCCACTCCTTCAAAAACCTTCGTCGCCCAATTCTGCCACTCCTTACTGCGTGCTGCTTCCGCCCTTACGCTGCGGCAAGCGCCGACATCTGTTTGAGCCGGGCAGGGAAGGTGGGCGCGGCCGACAGCAGGTTGCCAGCCGCACAGGAGGCCTCAGCTGGCGAGTCCAGCTGGGCAAACATGTGTTGCTGGCGCTGCAGCCTCTGAACGTAGATGCGTAGGTCCTGGCGCAGCTGCCCAACACGAATGGCCCTTTTCTGGACAAACTGGTCAGATGGCTCCGGAGCCTGCATCTCCTGGACCGCCCTGGCAATCGCCTCACGCACCTGTGCAAGGTGCGCTGCTCAGCGCGCGGCCACAGCTGATGCCGAAGTTCACTTGCCATGCCGGGCGCGACGTCGTGCTGGCTGCCACTCGACCCGCTTGGCAACCCCCTCGGGCGGGCCAGCTCAGCCAAGGTTGGCCTGCCGCTGCTTGCCTATCAGATCATGTCGGTTAGCAAGCTCTGCTTCGAAGCTGTCCAGCATGACGTCCCAAGCCTGAGTGAGGTGCTCGAGGGTCAAAGCATTCTGCAGCTGCTCAACGAGGGCATCTCAGCGCCACGGGTACCTCGCACATCCATGGGCAGCGACCTTCGGGAAATTTGTCATTTGCTTAGCTGCCCGACGTGACAGCTCCAGCTTGTCGTGACGTAGCGTGAGCTGCACCGTTGTGGTGAGGCCAGATTCTTGAGTCGGCCTTCACTTCCAGGGGGTGTACGGAGTAGTCTAACACACGGCCTGGCGTGAATTGAAGGCACGTCGCCTCGGAGGGCGCACAGCATCCCGCGTCAACAAGTCCTAGCCACTTGTGCTCCAGTAGCTCATCAGGTGGCATGTTGAAATTGCCAGCGAACGTCCACGCTAGCCCAGCAACGCTAACCTTGCAAACGCATTGGCACACAGTACATACAATCGCAAGGTTCCGATGAGAGCGTCCTTCATCAGCATGCAAGTATATTGATATCATGATGATGCCTCCTTTCTGTCCTGCACGTCGAGGGTTTTCTGCCTCCTATCTGTCCTTTCTGTTCTTTTCTGTCCTTGCGCCCCCAGGGTAGATCTGACCATTGTCGAGGAAGGAGGCTGCCGTGACCTGTATACTGGTACGCGCTGGGACAGCCACCCCACCAGCTTTACCACAGTCACTCCACCAGCGTTACCACAGCCACTGCAAGCCATTGGCCTTTCCAGTCAAGGTCGAGCGCATCATGCTGGACCTCCACTAGTTTGGTGGGTAGCGCATGCACCTCTTGCGCCAACACGGCGTCTGCTTTGCAGGTCACCAGATCGCGAACAAGGGTACCATGCGAGTTGGCATTCATCGTTTCTACGTGAAGGCCAGGACGCTGACTGGTATCTTCAGGCTGCTCTGGCAGGTCAGCCTGCGCTGCAGACGTGTTCGGTTCCCTATCAGCACGCAGGATACCGTCACCGACGGCTCCAGAGACCTGGCTTTCGCCACGATGCTGAACGAAAGGGGAAACGAGAGCGTCGTCATCGTCGACGGAACGGATCGTGCCCGCCATCCATGGACGCAGATACAGGGTCTGGGGCTACGCCTGCAGGCACGAATCCGGCCGCCTCGCGCCTTCGGGTAGCCGGCGAGGCCATGCCGCGCCGCCCCGGGGAATGCATGTCCCACAGTCCACTGGCGCCGTCGACGCGATACTGACCCTCGAGGGGAGTGCACTCCCCTGGCCACAGGTGCTGCTGACGCGACGCTGCAACGCCCCAGGGAAGGCGCGCCCCAGGCCACAGGAGCCGCTGACGAGATGCCGCGTCCAGTAGCACTTGTGACAAGGACGCTGCCGTCGCCGATGGGCTGCGCCGCCCCGGGTAATGTACTTCTCGGGCCACAGGCGCCATAGGCGTGATACCGCACCTCCAGGGAAATGCGCATCGGCGCCAGCCCAGGTGCCAGCGCCGTAGATTGCATTACTGGGCCAGGACGTGGAGGCTGCCCACAACCCCTTCGTGCTGCCAGTGTTGCCCTTCATTTGGGCGACGTTCTCGGGCACCAGCACATCACTCACGGAGGCGCTTGGCAGCCTGCCCAGCGGTGGGGGCGGCCAACAGGCGCTTGATAGCGTCGCGAACCTCGCTATCATCTTCAGACACAGCAAGATGATCAATCTCGCGGCTGCGCAGGTAGTCGTTGAGGGTTTCACCTGTAGCTTTGGCGACCTCCGCATCGACATCGGTAGGGCCGTCTTCTGAGGCGACGGGGGCAGCGCCCTCCGACAGCGGCCCAGCAGAGGCGGCAGCCTCTGCTGGTGCGGCTGCAGCAGCCTATGCAGCAGCCGCGGCCTTGGCGCGGTGCAGCGCATGGTGCTGCGCTGTCTCCTGCTAGCTAGCCGGCACCACTTCGCGAACTTGCGACTGGAGGCCAGTAGAAGCACCCATACAGGAGCACCTCGGACATCTTGGTGATCGTCCAGCGGCCAGTATCTGGTCCGCTAGCGGCGGATGGCGGCTTCTCGGGCGGAGCAGGCAGAGCACCGCAAATGCCGAGTCCGCTCAGCCTGCTGTAGAGCCACCAGCTCCACTCGAGAGGCCTTGCGTTCCTCTTCACCTTCCGGAGCTCCGCGAGCTTGGAGCTCCGCGAGCTTTGCCTTTTTGACCGATCAGTGTTTGTGTGTGTGTGTTGGTGTGTGTGTGTGTCTGTGTGAATGTTTTGTTGTTGTTGGTAATTATTATTACCATTCTTATTTTTGTGTCTGTGTGTGCTTGTGCGTGTGTGCGCGCGTGTGCGCGTGTGTGTGTGTGTGTGTGTGTGTGTGTGTGTGTGTGTGTGTGTGTGTGTATGTGTGTCTGTGTGTGTGTGTGTGTGTCTGTGTGTGTGTGTCTCTGTGTGTGTGTGTCTGTGTGTGTGTGTGTGTGTTTGCAGGCTTTGGCAGCTGGCGCTGCGGCGTCGCCGCTCTCCCTGCGCCAGTGGTCGCCGCGCGACAACAGCGTGTCCTTTCGTGCCGCTCTAGCGGCTCAGCTCCCACATCAGGGGCAACGTAAGCGGGGATTTGCTCAGGGGTGGATGCATCGACTCCCAATCGCCCACTGATCGCCGATAGGGCCCACCCCGACCAGGAAGTTGCGGTTTTGCTATCGGGGGCCCATCGCTGATTTCAGGAAGGATGCGCACATGCAGAAGCATCACGTTTCGGAGCTTCGCGCGGATTTATCGGATCCGTGCTGCGCCCCCCTGGCGGCACCGCCAGCGCCTTCTCGGGGGCGCTGCGCGCGCCAGGGAGGAGGTGGGTCCAGGGCCGATCCTAGAATCCGCGCGGTGCTCCGAAAGTTCATGTTTATGCCGTTGTTCTCCCTTCTAGGGCAGACCCCCCGACTCATATGAGGAAGGGATGCCGGTACCGTTACCCGCTCCTCGTCGCCTTTGTTGGATTCGCTTCGAAATCCTGGCTGGAACGCGCCTGGGAGGGGTCCAGGAAGTAGCGGCATCGGTGCCTCGCTGCTCCCCCCAGAACGGCATCACCACTTGTTTTCGCAGGTCCGCGCGGATTTCCTGCGTCGGCGCTGGGCCCTGCTCCCCGCACCCCTGGCGGCGCCTCCGGCGCCGCCCCAGACTCGGGCCGAACGACAGCGGGGGAGAGGGAAAGGGGTGGCTACGAAATCTGCTGCATGCGGCTGGTTTCGGCCCCGCCGCCGGGCCCACTCCTCGATACAAGGGCGCCTCCCGGCGCTGGGAGGCGCTGGGAAAATCGGCTACGTTCTGCACGAACGAGATGGGCACGGAAAGAATGGGTACAATGCCCAACAGCAGTTCCTGTTCATGTTGAACAGGACTCGCTGTCCGCGCCGCCGCGGCCTGTGTCCATTCGAGACAGAAGGCCGCCTGCCCAACAGCGGCCGCTGTTGGTTCGGGACAACATTTGTTGTTGGGCATTGTACCCATTCTTTCGGTACCCATTTCGGGTGTCCAAATACGTGAGCTGATTCTCACCCCCCCCCCTTTGCTATCCCCCCGTTTCGCCCAGCCCGACAGACGCGCTCCGTGCCCTGGGGCGTGTGCGGAGAGTGCCTCGCGGGCGGAGGCCTTCGTTTTGCGACCCCGCGGATACGGGGCACTTCTGTTCGTGGGTGCCCCGTGCGAAGCGTGTTCGGAGCGACCGCGTATCCGCGGGATCCCGCCCCAGAATCCAGACCGCGACGGCGCGGATGCGGGCATGCTCTCGCCGCTTATGAGATCCGCGCGGAGTTCGGACAGTTGTGGCTATGCCGCTGGTCGTTCTTCTGAATACTGGCGACGCGCAGAACGTGCCCCCCCCTGCTCCCCAGAAGGAATTTCTAGGGATTCTGCCATCGCGTAGCTTTACATATAAACGCATACCACCCAGTGATCTTGCCCAGCCCTTGAGAAGGCGTTTTGTATCTCAGGGTAGACCGATCCCTTCCAAGAGGCACCCTCTGCCTTTTTCCGTTGTCATTCTGTCTCAGGCCATCTTGGCCAAAAGGTGCCAGTTTTGCCGCCATGCGCGCTGATGCGGCTTCTGCGAGACCGCCGCGCTTGAGCAAAGCAGAGCGTAGAGCAGCACGCAAGATCTTCATAGCAGGTGGCACAGATGGCAAGGCTGCGGGCGCCAACACAGAGAAGCATTCTGCACCAGCAAAGAGTGGGGAGTGGCAGCGGGTCGATAAGAAGTTGATGCGCCTGAATTGTGATCTGCCAGAGTCCGGAGGGCGCAATGGTGCTTCTGCGACGGCGTGCAGCACGAAGCGACCTCGTCAGTCGCCTTCTGCAGCAAGTCGTCGTAAGAAACCTCGGGCCGTTAAGGATTTGTCGCGTGCGAATGGTGTGGAAGTGAGCCGAGCAGGACGAACAGCTGGCTGTGGAATTGACGCGGTGGCCAGTATGGATAAGCCCCCCGCAGCGCTTAAACGCAGCAAGAAGCTTCGATCAAGCTCGCAGGCGTTCCAGGCTGACCATAGGATCGTGGTCGAGGGTCCTGGCCGTGATGTGGTGCCAATCCAGGCTTTCGAGGCTTTGGGGGCAGAGCTGGGCACTCCGTTGTTGAAAGCCTTGCAGGCGCAGGGATACACCCGGCCAACTGCCATACAGGCACAGACCTGCCCACTGGTACCGAAGACGCCTCCGGGGAAGCCCCGCCGCCCCCTGCCTTCCCGGAGGCCTCCTGGAGCTCCCCGTGGAGCCCTCTTGGGCCACCTGGAGCTGTCTGGAAGCAATCCGGGGTCGTCTTGGGGCCACTTGGAGCCATCTTGGCAGTCTTGGAGGTCATCTTGGACTAGCTCGGACGCCGTCTTGGGCAACCCAGCCGACGTGGAGGCCACAGGGGGGAGACTTACTGTAACTTTCGAGTCGGCCCGGGTGCTCGGCGGCTTGGGCAGAGAAGGCCACTGGGAACTTCTTGGAAGGGCCAGAAAGCTGTAAACCCTGGCACGTCAACACCCCCCTTCCGCAGGCTGGTCTGGCTGCTTGTGGCCAATACCACCACCCGTGCCTGGATCGCCGCCTGGGGTCTCTTAGGAGGCCTCGTGGCGGCCTCTTGGGCGCCTCTTGGGAGCCTCCTGAAAGGTCCTAGGGCCGTCTTGGGCGGGAAGTCCCTGGCGTCTGGCCCTGAGCACCTTCTGAGGCCGGAAACATTGAAGACTTGTGCTTTCCAACGAGTCTGCGCCATTCGTTTCGCTGTGGCCCAGCGCTTGCTCCGTCCGATTCATGCGTTCACCGAGTCCGCGATAAGCAAACGTGCTTTTCAAGAAGCCCTGACCCCGAAAGGCTCGCGCGACACACCCCAGGGGAGCCCGAGAGTCCTGGACCGTGGAGGGTGCGGCGGCCTTTTGATAACACTAACGGTCGAAGGAGAGAACCAAAAAACATCAGAGTTTCGTTCGGATTTCTGAGGTCTGCGCTGGATCCCCCTGGCGGCGCCTCCAGCGGCGCCTCTGCCGCGGTTCTCGCGCCAGGGGGGGATGGGGGGAATGAGTCTTGGCACGCCTCATTCCGTGCGCAAGGCATGGTTATGGACTTCAGGGCCACGACGTGATCGGCGTTGCCACCACGGGCTCAGGAAAGACTTGTTCATTCATACTCCCAGTGCTGGCTCGTATTGCCGCGCGTAGGGATAGGTCGCCGTCCAGGGGACCTGAGCGCGCAATCCAGTCCAGAAAGCAGGTATCCGATGGACCCCCGACCGGATCTTGGACGTGCCCAAACTGTAACAATGTCAATTTCCCTCAGCGAGTTACATGCAACACGCGAACTTGCAAAGCTCCCCGTCCTGATGCGCTGACATCGGTGGTAGTTCCTGGTGGTCGTGACCGCACTCCTGCCAAGCCAACCGCGCTCGTTCTAGCACCAACACGCGAGCTGGCGCAGCAGATTCACGTGGAGGCGTGCAAGTTCTCCGAGGCTGCTTCTGCCAGGGCTGTCTGCATTTATGGCGGTGTTCCCAAGGGGGACCAAGCTGGCACACTCACGGGCGCAGGTGCGGACATTGTGATTGCAACGCCCGGCCGCTGCCTCGATTTTCTCAACAGTGATGTATCTAGCTGCCTGCGGCAAGTCCCGCCACCGTTCCAGCCAAGTACCTTGGGTGGCGATTGGCAGCAGGCCGTCACACGTGACATCTCGTGTCCCAAGGCTTGGGAGAGCGTGCTCTGCTCCTCCGCGCCGTGCTGGTGTTGGAAGTGAGTACAGCGATGGCAATAAGGATGATGAGGAGGGGGACAACGAGGATGATGATGAGGAGGATGAGGAAGAGGAGATGAGGAGGGTTATTGGCGGACGAGGGGGATGAATCCTGTGATGGGTGACGATGAGGATAGCGGTGGTGTTGTCGATGATGGCGATGGTGACGATGGTGACGGTGGTGGTGGTGACGATGATGATGATGATGATGATTATGATGATGATGATGATGATGATGATGATGATGATGATGATGATGAGGATGAGGATGATGATGAGGATGAGGATGAGGATGAGGATGATGGTGATGATGGTGATGATGGTGATGATGGTGATGATGGTGATGATGATGATGATGATGATGATGATGATGATGATGATTTTGATGATGATGATGATGATGATGATGATGATGATGATGATGATGATGATGGGTGTATTCAGTACGGGAAGCAGGCACTGTAGTTGAGCATCGCCGTATGGCCACTGCCACTTGTGCTCAAGCTCTGAGTCAGGGCGCCCCCTCATTCTTGTGATGCAAGCCGCCATTCGCCAGCTTGTCGGACGTATCGCTGAGGGGGCCTCGACTGGCCTCGTCGTGTGGGCTGGGCGGCCGACCTGCCCGGCGTGTGAGTGCTCGCCAGTCTTGAAGTGTCCGCCGCTGACCTGCACGACCGGCGACGTTGCCCACATCTCGCCAGTGACGCCGCTCACGGTTGCGGTCATCTGCGCCTGCATCGCCCTGCTTGCCTTCTTCGCGGGCCGGCTGACGCGCTTGGGAGCTAAGACCGTGCGGTACGCCGACGACCTGGACGCCACTGCTCGGGCCCAGGTGGCTCAGTACAAGGCCAAGGCTTTGGCACAATGATGCTGGCAGCTGCTGGCCAGCACCCGCTCACCGCGTCTCACGACCTGCAGGTGGGCGACTTCTGTGTTGTGCGCTACAACGTTCCAGGTGGGGCCCTGTACCACGAGCGGCTGGTCCACTACCTGCCGCTGGGTGCCGGGCTGACCGTGTCCATCACCACGCCCGACGGCGACGAGTACGAGGAGGTGTGGGGCCTGCCCGACATCATCGAGTGGGAGCCGCTGCCGAATCGGCAGCCGGGTGGCGTGCTGATGGGTCGGCCGGGAGCGCGATACTATCGGTTCAGAGCTGGTGCGATGCCGACCGCTGCGAGCCTCACGGCGTCCGCTGTGGCTGCTGCTGGACGCCTGGGCCAGCCTGCGCCGGGCGGGCCCTTGGTGCCGGCCCTCGGTGGGCGCCTCGTCGGGCCGCCGGCGGGAGGTGCCGCGCCCGGCGCGCTCGAAGCCGGGGGCGCCGCTGCCCCGCTTGGCGGAGCACCGGGCGCGCCGGCGGCGGCCGCTGCAGCTGCGCCGGGCGGAGTGGCCCCCGCAGCGGGGCTTGGCGGCCTGGTGGCGGCGCTCGGCGGCCCAGCGGCAGGAGCACCAGCCGGCGTGCTGGTTCCAGGCCCGCTGCCCGCCCCCGCTGCGGCCGGCGCCGCGGCGGCCGCGGCTCCAGGAGCCGACGGAGTGCCCGCCGCCGCTGCCGCCGGCGCCCCAGGGGCGGCCGCCGCCCCTGTGCCCGCGGACGCGGGCGCCGCCGCAGCCGCCGCGGGCCCGCCCGCTGCTGCGGGAGGCGCGCCCGCGGGTGCTGCGGGCGCTGGCGGCCACGTCCAGGACGCGAGGGTGCTCCCGGTGGTGTACGACGCCATGGGCAACCGTCGGCGGGAGTTCCGCGAGGCGGTGCTGGCCTGCCGGGAGGACCAGTGGGCGGGGTGGCCCGTGCGCGGACCTCGCACCGCGCTCTGGGTCCTGCGGTACATCATCGAGCACGGCGGGACGCCGACCGGGATGCACTCTCGGTGGCGCAGTGAGGCCCGCCTCCAGGAGCACGAGCCCGGGGTGCAGGAGCATGAGCGCTCGTGCCGGGCGCTGGAGGAGCTCATCTGCTACGACCAGTGTAATGGTGCGAATCTGGCGGCCGTGGAGCTGCTGGTGCGGAACATCCAGGTGCAGCAGGAGAGGTACCGCGACAGGAGCGCTGGCGGCTCAGGAGGCGGCGGCCCAGATAGCGTCGACACGCACCTGTACATGGGCAGCGAGCTGACCAGAGGAGGAGTGCGTGTGTGCCCTCTCCTCCAGGAGTGGGCCAGCGCCCAGCTGGCCAAGGAGCAGGCGCTGCTCAAGGAGCGGCGCAAGGCCCGGGAGGAGAGGGAGCTTGCCAAGAAAGGGAACAACAAGAAGAACAATAAGGATGAGGAGGGGTGATGTTCCCCTCGGCCGCGCCGGTTCCAGGCGGCTGGCGCGGCCCCCTGACTGAGACGCCTGTGGACCGCGATGCCTCTACCGGTCCGCCGGACAGAGAGGTTTTTGACATGCTGGGGCAGAGTGCCCGCCAGCGCGACATTTTTCCGCTGCCCCCGCTGTGCCGAGATCACGTCGGCGCGGCGGGCCGCCAGGACCTGTCCCGGGTCACCAGGCGGCGTGGGGGGGCTGCCAAGCACATCCTCGATTGGGGCGACGACTGCATCGACGCCCTGAACGACTTGTACGGCCACCAGGATCGGCCGGCGGTCCCCGCCAACGCTGGTCAGCGACACGCAGTGGATCATGTCGAGTCGCGAGTGCGCGCGCTGGGCAAGCCCCCACCAGAGGCAGGCTTCCGCGAGGGAGCCCTCCGTGAGCTCCTCGCGGGGACGGGGATCTACCAGACGGGTGATCTCTCCTCCCGACGGCCGTATGTCAAGGAGTCCATTTCCTGGCCCTCGCCCGACGTGCAGCCCGTCCCGCTGTGCGCTTGCTTGGGTGAGGCCGAGTCTGAGTGGCTGGGCCGCTGGCAAAGCACCTTGCTCAGGCCAGATCAACCTACATCCGCAGAACGTACTGAGTTCTGCCCGCACGGACCTTTTTTTGATCCCAGTCTCTTCAGTAAGCCTCTGCTTTACGCAGATTTTGTCGCCAAGTCGCTGGCCCGCGGCATGGTGGAGCTGAGGGAGGACTGCGACGCGGCCACCGTGGGCTGCTTCTTCGTCGCGAAGAAGAACAACAAGTTGAGCTATTTGATACGAGGGATGCAAATTTATTTTTCGGGCGACCAGCTCGGACCGCTTTGCCGACGGCTACGGCGCTTGCGGCTTTCGAGAACCCAGGGCACGACACCTACCTTGCCTCGGGCGACATCGACAATGCCTTCTACAGGTTGCGGCTGCCCGACGGCCTGTCGTCCTACTTCAGGCTGCCCGCCCTGGACGCCAGCCTGCTCGGGATCACGCACCTGGGCGGGGCGCGGCTCGCGCGAGGGGCGCGGGTGCAGCCTTGCGTCTGCGTGCTGCCGATGGGCTGGAGCCACGCGCTGGCCCTCTGTCAGGGCGTGCTGCGGCGGGCCCTGGACACCGCGGGGTTCACAGAGGGCCAGTGCATCGAGGACGGGAAGGCCGGGGTCGTGGTCGACGAGGAGGGCGCCCTGGCGGTCGCCGGCTACGTCGACAACTACGCTGCCCTGGGTCGCTCACCGGCCATCGTCGACCGGGCCGCCCTCGCCGTCACGCGCGCGCTGACGGATAAGGGGCTGCTCACGCACGATGAGGAGCCGGCCGCCCGCGATGCCACCTTCGTAGGCTTAGAGCTGAAGAGAGGACGTGATCTTTCGATTAAGGCCAGGAGCATTTGGAGGCTTCGTTTTGGGATCGACGCCCTGCTCAGGAAGGGGTTCTGTTCTGGAGACGCTCTCAGAATCATCATCGGTCACTTTACCTGGGCTGGGTTGATTCGTCGTGAAGTCCTCTCTTTGCTCAACTCATGCTACCAGTTTGCAGAGCGGATCGGGCAGCGACAGGCCCGACTGTGGAGATCAGTGCGGCGCGAGCTCTGGCGAGCTCGCTGTATCTTACCGTTGCTCAGCGTTGACCTCAGCGCCGAGTGGTGGCCAGAGGTAGCCGCATCAGATGCTTCGTTGTTTGGTCTTGGAGTCACTGTCCGAAGAGCTCCCATCCAGCTGGTATCCTCTATTGGCCGATGCAGTGAGAGATGGCGTTTTGCGGGCTCGCGAACATGCCCTTCGTCAGGCTCCTGTGGGCTCCATCAATGACCCCGACAAGGCCCTTGAGAACCTGCTGGTCGACAACCCCGTGGTCTTCGACGAGGTCCCCATGGGTTTCCTGAAGTCAGACACCTGGAAAGTCGTTCATGCCTCGAAGGTCGCTGGGTCCACGGACATCCTAGAGCTCGAGGGGGAGGCGCTCCTAATGGCTATTCGTCACACGCTCAGAAACACTGGGGCTCTTGGAACGAAGATCCTGTTCATAGTGGACAACCTACCATTGGCCCTAGCGGCCATGAAGGGGCGGGCAAACTCTCGATACCTCCGACACGTGCTTCAGAAGATAGCTGCTCTTTCACTGACTACAGGGTGCAGGATAGTTGTGCGGTGGGTCCCATCTGAACTCAATCCTGCTGACAATCCGTCTCGAGGCGATCGCGGTTTCTTCACTACTCCATATCACGTGCACCTTGCCCGGCCGCATGGCTGGGCGCCGGCGGCCAGCGGCGGCGCAGGCCGCCGTCGAGCGGGCGAGGAACGCCCAGCAGGTGGCCGCCTCCACGGTGCAGACCTTCGGCCTCTCGGTCCTCGAGTCCGCAGCGATCCGCCCGAACACGCAGAGGCAGTGCCAGGACCGCCTGGCGACGCTGGTCCTCTTCTGCCGGACGTACCACCTGGACTGGGGCAGCTGGGAGACGCTGGACAATGCGGTCACCGCGCTGCTGAACCATCAGTTCCTGGACGGCAAGTGCTCGGACCTGGGGACGCAGCTGATCGCGGCGCTGGCGCACGTCTACCCGAGGCTGGCTCGGCGCAGCGGGCTGTGCCTGCCGCGCGCTTGCCGCGCTGCCGGGGCCTGGAAGCGTCGGGCACCCGGGCGCTCGAGGCTGCCGATGCCGAAGACTGGCGCGGCGGCGATCGCCGGGGTGATGCTGTTCCTCGGCCAGCGCCGAATGGCCATCTACACCATGCTGACCTTCATCTGCTACCTCAGGCCGCTGGAGGGGATTGCGCTGCTGGGCAGGCACCTGGTCGCCCCGGTGTCGGCGGCAGGCGCGAGCTACGCGAGCTGGGGGCTGCTTCTCCACGACTTCGAGCTCGGCCAGCCGTCCAAGACCGGCACCTCGGACGACGCGGTGCTCATCGACCAGGACAGCTGGATCCTGCCAGCGCTGGCCGGGCTCCAGGCGGCGACGCACGCCGACGCCTCGCTGTGGGACTTCGGCGCGGCGGAGTTCAGGATGAGGTTCAAAGCGGCCGCGGACCTGCTGGGGCTGGGGCAGCTTGCCCCGCACCCCGACTCGCTCCGGCACGGCGGCGCGTCAGACGACCTTCTGGCCGGCCGCCGAAGCCTGGGGCAGGTGCGGGCGCGAGGCCGGTGGGTGTCTGCGTCAAGCCTGCGCCGATACACCAAGGCCACGCGCCTGCTGCGGGAGCTGCAGGAGGTCCACAGCGACATCTTCGGCTTCGGGAACTTTGTGATGACTCACTTCACGGGACTCGTCGAGCACGGGCTGACTGGCCCGCTTTTCGACCAGGTCCCGGCGAGCGTGAGGGGCCTGTTGCTTGCGAGCCAGAGCGGCGGGGCCACGTCCGCCGCCGGCCGCGGGCGAAAGCGGCGGCCAGCGTGACTCACCTGGTTCACGGCGGGGACGTGGGCGCCCACCTCGGCGAGAGGTTCGCTGCGAGCCTGGGCCGGGCAGTGCGCTTGCGGTCGCTGCTGTTCCTCGAGCTCTTCGGGGGCTGTGGCCGCGTCGCGGCCAGCGCGCAGGCCAGGGGCTATGCCGCGCTCAGCCTGGACATCAACGGCTCACCTCTTGAGAACCATCTCACCCCAACCTTCCTCAACAGGATCCTGGGCTGGATCGCAAGCGGGGCCATCGCCGGGATCTGGCTCGGTACGCCCTGCAGCACCTGGACCCGTGCGCTTCGGGTCCCGCTGCGAACTGCTGAGTACCCTGACGGGCGGCCTGACCTTTCGCCTGATCTTTTTAGCAAGCTCGATATAGGAAATAAGTCATTCCACTTTTCCCTTCACGTGATCCGTGCATGCCTCAGACACAATGTAGGCGTCATGATTGAGAATCCCCAGACTAGCTTGATGTGGTCCTCGCCTCACTTCCAGAAGCTTCTCAGTTTACAAAGCAGCACTTCTGTAATATGTCACATGTGCCAATTCGGCGCGCCCTGGAGGAAAGCTACTCGAGTGCAAGCCTGGGCCATCGGAGAATTGTGGGAGCTGTCGAAAAAATGCGGCGGCCCCCGAGGCATTTGCAGCAGGACTCTCCGGCCCCACCTCGAGCTCAGTGGGCGGGCGCCAGGCGGGAAGCATTGGACAGCCATTGCCGCCGCCTACCCCGCTGCCTTTGCCAAAGCTGCCGCTGCCATGCTCGTGCGCACGTGTGAAAGCAAGCGCTCCCTCGCTCTCTCTGACAGAATGGGAGGGTAGCCCTGATTGTTTTTTTCGGCCCCAGGCCAAGTTCGCGTTCGGGTTGCGGATGCGAGGTTCGTTCATCTGTCCAGTGGCTCGCCTTGTTGTCGCGAGTTCGCCGCCGTGCGCTGCTCCTCACAAATACATCATCTCTCTTGGCGACGAGGGTCGGAAGAGGCCCTGCTGGGTGTATTCAGTACGGGAAGCAGGCACTGTAGTTGAGCATCGCCGTATGGCCACTGCCACTTGTGCTCAAGCTCTCCCTCCCTCCCTTTTTCTTTCCCCACGAGCTTGAGTGTGGCTTTAATGGCCTGATGCGAGGCTCGTTCATCTGTCCAGTGGCTCGCCTTGTTGTCGCGAGTTCGCCGCCGTGCGCTGCTCCTCACAAATACATCATCTCTCTTGGCGACGAGGGTCGGAAGAGGCCCTGCTGATAATGATGATGATGATGATGATGATGATGATGATGGTGGTGGTGGTGGTGGTGGTGGTGACGATGGTGGTGGTGATGATGATGGTGGTGGTGATGATGGTGATGATGATAATGATGGTATTGGTGATGCTGATGGCGATAATGATGTTGTTGATGATGATGATGATGTTGATGATGATGATGATGATGATGATGTGGATGATGATGCTGATGATGAGGATAATGCTGCTGATGAGGAGGATGATGGGGCTGATGCTGATGCTGATGCTCATGGTGTTGTTGATGATGGGAATGGCGGTGGTGTTGATGACGATGGTGATGACGAGGAGGACGAGGATTTATTTGCAGGCAGTATACGGGCCCTCTTGTGCCGTCTTGAGCCAGTCTTGGAGAAGGGGACCGTCTTGGGGCAATGTTGGAGGTCTGTAGGGCCATCTGGACATACATGCGTTTGGCCTCCTCGAGCCCCACTGGGTGTCCCCCTTGGGTTCTCTTGGGCTGTTTGGGGGCTCTTGGGCCGCCTCGGGGCCATCTTGGGCAATCTTGGAGGCATCTTGGGCGATCTTGGCGTCCCTGGTTGCCCGCCTCGGCCGTCCATTGAAGCTTGGGATGGCGGACCAGTAGTTTTCGTATAAAGGGTCGTGGCCTCGGGTACGCGAACATGGCTAGGTCGCAGCGCCCCTGGAGGGCCCCAAGACGGCCCCCGAGTACCCCAAGAGGGCCCAAAGACGGGCCAAGGGAGCGCCAAGAGGCCTTCCAGACGGTCCAAGAGGGCCCCGAGTCGCCGAGCGATTGTTTTGAGACGCTCCAGATGGCCTCCAGACGGCCCAAGAGGCCACCAAGACGACCTAAGAGGCCGCCTAAGAGCCCTCCCAAGAGAACTCCAAGAGGCAACAATCGTCCCGTTCCCCTGGGAAGGTATACATGTTTAGCGTATGCTGGTTTTCGAGCTTCACGGCGGCCAAGACGGCCCAAGAGGCTTCCCAGGTCATCCCTAGGCGGCCCAATAGGCCCCCAAGAGGGCCCCGTGACGCCCCAAAGAAGCGCCCAAGACGGCCCAAGAGGGCCTTCAGAGGACCGTCAGAGGGGTCCAAGAAGGGGAACTCGAATTTCGATGTCGTGCCTTTTGCTGTAAAGGGCACCCCGAGACCGTCAGCAGGGCCCAAGAGGCCCCAAGCGGCTCCCACGAGGCCCCCAAACAGGCTCCCGAGAGGCCCCAAGAGGCCTCCTGACAGGCCCCAGTAGCTCTGATCTCGAAGCGCACAAACGACCGCGCGTCATAGCCGTCCCGACCCGATCATATACCAAACAGGGGGACAACTTAGCAGGACGCCGGTCAGAAAGTCAATATGTACATGTTATATACGTATATACATGTATATGTCTACAGTTTTCTACCAAAGACAGTGGCCTCGCCGGCGCGGGTCGCAGACTTTCTGCGCGGGATCGTGGCTTGAGGAAGGCAGATACAGAGTGTGTGTTTTCGAAGGGTCGTGGCCCCATGGGCGCAGACTCATCGTTTTTATTGCAAGGGGTCGTGGCCTCGGGAGTAGGGGCCTTTAGTTTTTGTGTCAGGGTTCGTGGCCTTGGGGGCACGGATTCTCAGTTTCGTTTTGCAGGGAATCACCGCCTCGTGAACGCAGATTATGTTTTAAGGTGTCGTGATTTCGGGAGCGCGGGCTCTTTTTGGGGTTTCTGGGGGGTGGGATCGTGGCCTTGGGTCATATCCCACATCCAAACAGTGGGTCTTGTTTTCTCTGCACCCTCCCGCGCAGAATCTCCTCGTACTCCTCTCCCCCAATTCTTTTTCCCACTCACACCCTCGTGCGCAGTCACTCATCCATTCACTCATCACTCACTCACTCACTCACCCGCTTATCCGCTTACCCATCCATTACCATCACCCATCACTCATCATCGTCATCATCATCACCACTGGCTCATCACAGCCATCATCATCAGTATCACCTTCCCGAAAGGTTCATCTGGCATTGATTTTCATAATTATCACGACCGCCATCATCATCGTCACCACCATCAGCACCAGCACCATCAGCATTGCACACACACGCACTCCTTCACTTACTCACTCACTCCCTCACTCACTCACTCACTCACTCACTCACTCACTCACACAGACACTCACACATTCATCTTGAGAAAGTCTAGAATGGGAGCCTGGCTCGCGAGTGATTCGCGATGAAGTCTCGAGCGGGAGCCCTCTCCCCATGGGTTGCGCACATCGTTTTTTCCCAACCATCCTGTGGTGTTGGGTCCTCGTTTTGAGGAGACGGTCCCCGCGTTCCCTCCCTCCTTCCTTCTTTCCTTCCTTTCGTCCTTCCTTCCTTCCTTCCTCCTCCTCCCTCCTCCTCCTCCTCCTCCTCCTCCTCCTCCTCCTCCTCCCGCTCCTCCCCCATTTCGTGGCCTTATAGGGAGCTCCACCGAAGGCTCCAGTGGGACCGCCCGCGTGCGTCATCCACCACCTAGCACAGCATTTCGTGGCCCCACAGAGAACTCCACCGAAGGCTCCAATGGGACCGCCCGCATGCGTCATCCACCACCCACTACATCGTTTCGTGGCCCCACAGGGGCTCCACCGAAGGCCCCAGTGGGATCGCCCGCATGCGTCATCCACCACCCAGCACAGCGTTCGTGGCCCCATGGGGAGCTCCAACGAAGGCCCCAGTAGGACCGCCCGCATGCGCCATCCACCACCCAGCACAGCGCTTCCTGGCTTCATAGAGAGCTCCACCTAAGGCCCCAGTGGGACCGCCCGCGTGTGTCATCCACAACCCAGTACAGCGCTTCGTGGCTTCATAGGGAGCTCCACCGAAGGCCCCAGTGGGACCGCCCGCATTCGCCATCCACCATCCAGCACAGCATTTCGTGGCTTCATATGGAGCTCCACCGAAGGCCCCAGTGGGATCGCCCGCATGCGTCATCCACCACCCAGCACAGCGGTTCGTGGCCCCATGGGGAGCTCCACCTAAGGCCCCAGTGGGGCCGCCCGCATGCGTCATCCACCACCCAGCACAGCGCTTCGTGGCCCTATAGGGAGCTCCACCTAAGGCCCCATTGGGGCCGCCCGCATGCGTCATCCACCACCAAGCACAGCACTTCGTGGCTTCATAGTGAGCCCCACCTAAGGCCCCAGTGGGACCGCCCGCATGCGTCACCCACCACCCATTACAGCGTTTGTGGCCCCATAGAGGGCGCCACCGAAGGCCCCAGTGGGACCGCCCGCATGCGTCATCCACCCAGCACAGCGCTTCGTGGCTTCACAGAGAGCTCCACCTAAGGCCCCAGTGGGACCACCCGCATGCGTCCTCCACCACCTAGTACACCTTTTGTGTCCCCACAGGGAGCTCCACCCAAGGTCTCCGTGGCGGAACTCGCATGGCGGCCCAGTGGTGGAGTTCGCATGGCGGCGACTTTCGATTTCTGGAGGTTTGTCGTCATATTCGACGGGCCGCGCATCCCGGGCGGGAGCCAGCCTGCTCGCTCTCTCTGCTCCGCGCAGGGGACGACCCGCGCGCGTCGCCGGGACCCCTTCGGGGCGACCAGCGCGCGTCGCGGGGACTCCGTGCGGCGCCGCGCCCGCAGCCTTGGACGTAGGCGTGCACGGGCAAAGAGGGAGAAGAACGGGAAGGAGACGGGCGCGATCCTCGTGAGAGGCGCCCCGACATGGGCGTCGACATTTGCAACGTAGACCCACGCGCACAGATTCATCCACAATCAGACTCACTCGCTCTCAGTCTCTCGCACGCAGACCTATCGTCTTCGCTCGCGTTGTGTGCCCCGCCGCGCGTGTCGGCACGTCCTTCGCACGGTTATTGGCCCCATAGGGAGCGCGGCCGAAGATGATATTCATAATTGCGGTGCTCACACCTGGATATGGTTGGGTCTTTCGCCAGGCTATTTTTTCTGTGTGTTCGACACAAATCCCAGCGGGTCATCCTCAAACCTGTAATCGTCGTCGCGTTTGGGCTCCTCAGGCCTGAATCTGCAAGAAGTTTCCAGCGGGAGCTTCGTCCGTGAATGAAGTGCACGGAAGTCTCAGGCTTGAGCCCCGCCCCGAGGATCTTGCCCATGATGTTTTTGATCCCATCGGGTCGCCGCCGAACGTGTAATTAACTGTTGTCACTTTTGGGCTCCCCATGCTTGGAAATGGGGGAAATGTCGAGCGGGAGCCTCGTCAGTGAGTGAATCGGGAGGAGGTCTCAAGCGGGAGCCCTTTCCTTGGGGCCCGCATTTATGTATGTCTTACATGCAATGTTGGGTTGTTGTGTTATCTGGACCCCCCGCGCAGGGATTTCCACTTTTTTTTCTTCCTCCTCCTCCTCATCATCATCATCAGCAGCACCATCGTCATCACCATGGTCATCTGGCACACATCATCTTCATCTCACACACATTCACGCCCTCAATATTCCTCTCATACAATTTTGCACTCACATACACACCTCGAGGGACGTCTCGCGCGGGAGCCCCACCCCGATGGGGTACGCACCTCATGTTTTGAATCCCGGTGGGTCTTCCCCAGACTTGTAATTGTGGTCGTCTCTGGGCCCCCTCAGGCCTAAATATGAAGTCTCCAGCGGGAGCCTCGTCTGTGAGTGACGCGCAAGGAAGTCTCAGACAGGAGCCCCTCCCTATGGGTCCCGCCCATGATGTTTTTGATCCCATCGGGTCGCCCTCAAACGCGTAACCGTTGTTACTTTTCGGCTCCTGAGGCATGGAAATGGGGGAAATGTCGAGCGAGAGCCTCGTCAGTGAGTGAATCGGGAGGAAGTCTCAGGCGGGAGCCCTTTCCTGTGGGGCCCACATTTATGTTTGTCTTATATGCAAAGTGGGGTTCTTGTGTTCCCTGGGGGAGATTCCCCTCCTTCTTCCTTACCATCATTATCATGATCACCATGATCACCTCGCACGCGGCATCATCATCTCACACGCACTCTCGCACTCAATCTTACTCTCAGACAATCTTGCACATTCCAATGCACACCTCGAGGGACGTCTCGCGCGGGAGCCCCACCCCCGATGGGTTACGCACCTCATGTTTTGAATCCCGGTGGGTCATCCCCAAACTTGTAATTGTCGTCACCTCTGGGCTCCTCAGGCCTGAATATGGAGGAAGTCTCAAGCGGGAGCTTCGTTTATGAGTAGCTTGCGAGGAAGGCTGGGGCGGGATGGGGTCCGCACCTCTTTCTTTTACATTCCCAGGGGGTCATCCTCAAATGTGTACATGTCTTAATTTTGGGGCTCTTCAGGCCCGGGTATGGAGGAAATCTCGAGCGGGAGCCTCGCCTGTGAGTGAATGTGAGGAAGTCTCAGGCGGGAATCTCTTGCATATGGGGTCCGCATATATTGTGTTTAATCCCAGGTGCATCCTCAAACTTGTAATTGTCGTCATTTGTTTCATCCCTCAGGAGAAATTCTTAATTGGGATTTTTTTCGAGTGAATTGCGATGAAGTCTCCGGCGGGGGCCCCTCCCTATGGGGACCGCAGATCATGTTCTTAATCCCGGCAGGTCGTCCTCAAACCTTCAAGCTGTCGTCAGTTTTGGGCTCCCCAGGTTTGAATGTGGAGGCAGTATCCAGCGGGAGCATGGTCCGCGAGTGACTTGCGAGTACGTCTTTGGAGGCAGTCTTTTTTATGTGACCCGCACCTCGCGTGTTTAATCCTAGGCGGCCATCCGAAAACTTGTAACTGTCGTTGCTGGTGTGTTTTTGAGATTTGAATCTGGAGGACGTCTCGAGCGGGAGCCCCGCCTGTGAGCCAAACGCGAAGAAGTCTCGAACGGGAGCCCCTCCCTAGGGGGTCTCCACGTCCATGTTCGAATCCGAGCGGCCGCGGGGAAGTCTAAGGCGGGCAGGGCTGAGGCGGAGCAGCTCGCGGCAGAGCTCAGGTTCGCGCTGCTTCCCGCCTGAGCGCGGCCGCGCCCAGCTCGAGGCCCGCGGGGTTGTCCTGACGGCTTGCTCCCGCGCTCCAGCGGCCCACGGGGTTGTCCCAACGGCCTGGCAGGCGGGGTTGTCCCAACGGCTTCGCGGTCTAGCCTGCGGCCAACGCGCCGCTGCCGGCCGTGGCGGCGAGGGCGCCGAGGAAAATCGGCATGCGTGCCCTGGCCAGAAAAAATGGACATGTGCATGTGGAGAACAGGCGGGATGGAGATGAGAACAGGGGGAGGAGGAGGAGGAGGAGGAGGAGGAGGAGGAGGAGGAGGAGGAGGAGGAGGAGGAGGAACCGGAGGAGTGTGGGGGAAAGGGCGAGGAGGGGGGCAGAAGTATATAAATACACACATATATATATATATACGCACATATTATGTGTATATATCGGAGGTTGGGGGTGAGTCCGACGTGAAACGGAGACCCCCCTACAGGGAAATCGATTTCGGTTTCGGGTTCGTGTCTTGCGTGCCGTGCGTGCGTGCGGGCGAGGGGAAGCTGCGTGGGCGGGCGAGAGGAAATCCTCCTGAGGCTGGGCCGCGGCCGGATCAAATGTTTCTCCGCGGTGTCCCGCCGGTGTCCCGCTGGTGTCCCGAAATCCTCCTGGCTGGGGCGCGGCCGGACCAAATGATTCTCCTCCAGCGGCCGGTGGCGCGCGGTGTCCCGCCGGTGTCCCATTGGTGTCCCGAAATCCTCCTGGCTGGGCCGCGGCCGGACCAAATGATTCTCCTCCGGCGGCCGGTGGCGCGCAGTGTCCCGCCGGTGTCCCGCTGGTGTCCCGCCGTGACTGCGGCGAGCTATCCAATGCAAGTCTACATGCAAACCGACATGCAAACCGAAAAGCACATCCAAATGCAAATCGACATGCACATCCAAATGCAAAGCGTAAGGCGCCGTGGGTTGCGTATTTAAACAATCGGCGCCTGCGGCGAGCTTTCCAATGCAAGTCGACGTGCAAGTCGAGATGCAGATCGAAAAGCAAATCGACACGCACATCGATATGTCGACATGCAGCTCGAGATGCAGATCGAACAACAAATCGACATGCACATCGATATGCTCATCACAGGCATCGTCAGAACAACAGTCACCACTGTTGCCCATTGCTGCCCCCCAACCCTCCTTATCACCCGCAGGGTGGTCGTATAGGTATTTACATATACATATATATATATGTATATATATATATATATATATATGTAGCAAGGAGGACAAGAAGGACGAGGCGACGGAGGGCGAGGAGGACGAGGAGGATGAGGAGGCGCAACGCAGGGCGGGAGGAGAGCCTCCTGCTGGGCGAAGGCGAAAGAGCGAGGGGCAAGTTAAATAGATTCTCGTTCGGGGGCCCACGATCGGAACAACAATCCCAGCGCGTCGTCCTCAAACTTGTAGCTGTCGTCACTTTTGGGCTCCCCATGCTTGAATATGGAGGAAGTCTCAAGCGGGAACCTCGTCTATGAGTGTATTGCGTGGGAGTCTCAGGCGGGCCCCCCCCTTTTATAAGGCCCGCATTGTTTTTCAATTCCAGGTGGCCCTTCGCAAACTTGAAACAGCCGTCATTTCTTGTTTTCCAGGCCAGAATAAGGAGAAAGTCTCAAGCGGGAACCTCGTCTGCGAGTGAATTGAGATGAAGTCTCAGGCGGGACACCCGCCCCATGGGGCCCGCATTTCATGCATGTTTATTCCCAGGGGGTCATCGCCAATTTTGTAAAAGTCTTCAGCATTGGGCTCCCCAGGTTTGAATTTGGAGGAAGTCGCCTCGTCCGCGAGGAAGTCTCGAGCAGGAGCCCCTCCCTATGGGGTCCCCATCTCCACGTTCGACCTCCAACGGGTCATCCTCAATCTTGCAACTGTCGTCACCTTTGGCCTCTTCAGGCTTGAATCTGAAGGAAGTCTTGGGCGAGGGCGTCGTTTGTGATGGAATCGCGAGGAAGCCCCTCCCTATGGGGCCCGCAGGCCATGCTCGAATCCAAGCGAGTCGCCCGAATCGTGTAACAGTCGTCACTTCTGGGCACTTCAGGCCTGAATCTGGAGGAAATCTTGACTGGGGCCTTCGTCTGCGAGCGAATCGCGAGGAAGTCTCGAGCGGGAACCCCTCCCTAAGGGGTTTCCACCTCCATGTTCGACGAGGGCTGCGAGCTCCAGGGCTGAGGCGGAGGTTCGCAGCAGAGCTAGGCTTCGCACTGCCATCCGCCTGAGCGCGGCGGCGCCCAGTCAGAGGCCCACGCGATTGTCCCGCCGACTTGCTCCCGCGCCCCAGCGGCCCACGGGGTTGTCCCGACGGCCTTGCCCGCGGGTTGCCCTAACGGCTTCGCGATCCGGCCATCGGACAACGAGCGCATGTTGGCCGTGGCGGCGAAGGCGCAAAAGGAACATCGACATGCGCGCCCCGGCCAGAAGGAAGGAGAGGTGCATGAGGAGAACAGGCGGGATGGTGGAGGAGGAGGAGGAGCAGGAGGAGGAGGAGGAGGAGGAGGAGGAGGAGGAGGAGGATAAGAGGGAGGAGGAGGAGGAGGAGGAGGAGGAGGAGGAGGAACTGGTAGAGGACGGAGACGAGGAGAAGGAGGAGAAGGACGAGGAGGAGGAGGAGGCAGGAGGAGGAGGAGGAGGCAGGAGGAGGAGGAGGAGGAGGAGGAGGAGGAGGAGGAGGCATGATGATGAGGCAGGAGGAAACGGATGACACAGGAAGGGGTAGGAGGAGAGGACAGAAGGATGTTCCCAGCCAAACTGAACACATATCATCATATGGGATGGCTCAAGACTGCGGCCTCTGGGGGCCGTGGTCACCACAGCATTGCACCCTTGGGAAGGCCCAAGGGCTAAGGGCTCAAGCCTCGCCCCCGTCCGCTCCATCCTACGCAGACTTCCCTCTCTGCGTGCGATGGCGTGCACTCATGAGGCGTGCCCGCTCTTCGGTGCGCTGCCCGCGGCCGCCGACGAGCTGGGCCGCTGCCGGCGCTGCGGGCAGGCGTTGCCCGGCCATGGCGTCGCAGCGGCTATCGCACCAGCCGCTGAGGCGGCCCAGCCGCCGCTGCCGCCGGGGCTTCCAGCTCCTGGCGATGGCTGTGCAGCCCCGCCCGCCGCCGGGCCGCCGCTGCCGCCAGGGCTACCCGCTGGGGCCGCCTTGCCTGCCGCAGGCAGCCTGCACGCCGAGGCCGTCGAGTCCGGCGCCACGCAGGGCTTGGCGGCTCTGCGGATGGACGCGAACGCGGACTCCGAGGCGGGCCAGCTGGAGGCCATCGAGGTGGACGACGACGACATCAGGAGGACGGCAGCCTCGGCCTCTGTCCTCCCCGCGCCCCCTGGCTGGCGTGAGCAGGCCTTTACCGCCTTCGTCGAGCAGGAGATCTCGCGCTTCCTCCCCTTGGTGTCAGCAGCAGCCTCGGATGGAGCCCATTGTACGGCTCCGCCCATGCCGCACTCGGCGACGGCCCTGGGCGCTCTGCTGAACCGCCTGGGATACGATGTGGTAGCCACGGATCCCTGGAGGCTGCTCGGCATGGCTCTCTTGGAAGGCCCTGACCCGGATGAGATCATCATCAATTCTCGGCTGCACACTGCGTTGACGCTCAGTGACTACGTGTGCCAATCTGGGCAGGACCCGGGGGCGGCAGCCGAGATTGAGGAGTTACGGAGGAGGGTACGGAGGGCGGCGGATGCTTGCACGGCCGCTCTACCTGAGGCTCTCAGGCTGCGCCAGCGCGAGAAGGTCTCGAAACTCCCCCTCCACAAGGAGCTCGGCGCCGTCGCCATCCAGGACATCGCGGCGGCGCTTCCCGCGGGAGTGATCCTCCTCACGCAGTGGTCGGACTTGGGCAAGGTGTCGGGCGTCACCGCCGCATCTATCCAGGACGCTCGAGCCATAGCCACCCTGGCGGAGAAGGGGGACAAACGCTTCTGGGACATGGTTGCGGGGCGCTCGGTGCTGGTATGGGCCCCAGGGGATCGCGGCTCCCTCGCCAGGCTCATGGGCCAGTTCATGAAATCACGCTCCGGCGATCCACGGCCGGTGGGCCTTTACTTCATCACCACGGTGCCGGAGGCCATGTGCATTGGAAGCGTCGGGGATGGACCTATGGTCGCACGCGCTGCTCTCCGCCAAGTGGGCCGCAGTGGTCAAGGACAAGGTGATCATGGATGGAACTTACGAGGTCATACTTCCAGGACGGGGCCCCCCTCGCATGACTAGGGCTGGCCTTGCCATATTCCGTGTTCGTCCAGAGGGAGTGGCGGCGAACCCGAGGCTGGGGGTGGTGAGGCACGCCATCTGCGAGATCGACGCGCCCCGCACGCTGACCCTCGACATGCGCGCTTCGGACTTCTTCCGCGTCTCCCAGCTCCTTGATGCTGCGGCACTCCAGGGGGTGCTGGCCCGAGACCCCCGGAGGAACCCTCTGCGCACGAATGACATACCTCGGATCACAGTCGACTGGGTGCTGCCCGATTCTGTCACGGACTTGGAGACCTTGCTGTTCATGCGGCAATCGCGTATTGGCCCCCTCCCACGGGATGCTTTCTTCGGGCTGAAATCCATCGTCTGTGATTCGGGATCTCTGCTGCTTGAGCTTAGCACGCCGCTCACGGCCCACCACTACTGGCCCCTCTGCTCGCAGTGGGTCCCCGTCGCCGGGGATAAGGTGGTGGTCATCTCCGACGCGGCGCCGGCGACATGGACCGACGCGATGACGAAGGCCATGCAGGAGGAGCCTTCGGAGACAGGCTCGCGGCTCAAGTGGAAGGCCTCCCGCAACGGTGGCAGGGTCGTGGCAACTCCCCATGCCACGGCGCAGGCTCTTGCGGCCTCCCGCAAGGGCGGCACTTCCCCTCTGACATCTTTGGACTTCCAGGTCGACGTCCGCATCTTGGGGGAGACGGGCAGGGAGGATGGAAAGGTCCTGGGGCGCGTCATGCAGCATGTCATCCAGGCGACGGGGCTCCAGCTGACCGAGTGCAATTACACCTCCCCGCCCAAACCAGGTCAATTCCAGCATTTGGCCACGGCGGATCCCTCTGCCCCTCCAGGGAGGGTCAGGGCCTTCCTCGCGTCGCTTGAAGATGTCCGTCGGGTTTACGCCGCCTTGCAGGGCCAGACTGTCAAGATCGGCATTGACACCGTCGCCATCGAGGTCACCAGCGACATCGTGGACGCTGCGACGGTGCCGGGGGGGCTCCAGGCGGCGGCAGTGAGCGCCGGTTGCCCCCGCGAACATCACAGGTGCGATCTGCATGAGGGAATTCAGGTTTGGGATCCTGACGGCTCCTCGTACTTCGTTCTGGACCTCGTCTTGCGTCTCCGCTCTGCTTCTGCTGAGCCGTGCCGCCGGTCCCAGGTTTCGGATGAGGATTGGAGGTCTGAAGGTTTTTCTGAGGGCATTCGCCGAGCGGCCTCGCGTTCTTGCTCTCCTTTGCGCGACAATCGTTCTTCCATTAATTCGCATTGTGTTTTGAATTCGTCTGAGCGTCGCAGGTTGGGTGTTTTTTTTCAAGGATGGGAGGGTTGCACCCTCCCTGCCAGAGCTGAGATGGAGCCAGGGCGAGCTTCTTCCACGTGACCTTGAGGCGCTCCACTGCCGGGACGTGCCCCTCACATTCTACCAGCAACATCGGCTTCGTCGTGCTCTTGGCGCGCTTCCTCCACATGCTGCACTTCTTCCGGGCCAGCTGGATCCTCCTGGCCGCGGTCACGATCCGCCGCGTGCCGGCCAGTTCACGGGCAGCTACCGGGTGATCACTTGGAATGCGCAGGCTTTCTTCGCTTCCAACCGGGCCCGCGCGCTGGGGAAGCAGGCCTTCGCCGCCAAGCTCCTGCAGAGGGCGGACATCGTGCTGATCACGGAGGCGCACGGCACCGCTGGTACGCACGAGGTTTGGCAACCTCCCCCGGGCGCGTCGGCCTGGTGGTCAGCAGGCGCCACGACAGCACATGCAGGCGTCGGCATCCTGGTGAACAACAGCTTCCTGGCGCAGTTCGAGCCCAACCCCACGATTGATGAAATCTGGCCAGGTCGGGCCTTGAGGTTGCGCCTGCAGGGGAAAAACGGCGCCCTCGACCTCTTTGTGGCGTACTTCCACACGGGCAACGTTGTCGGCGAGGCGGACTTGCACGGCGTATCTCCAGCATGGCGGGATCGATGCACTACCTTCCCTCAACTGCGGATGCATCTTCGCCATCGCGTTGCGCAGGCGGGTCGCCCGCAGAACGAGGCCCTCACCATCATCGGAGGGGATTTCAACTGGACCGTGCAGGAGCAGGACAGGCGCTCGAAAACTACCATGCACACATCAGGTCGAGGCGGGGCGGCGGAGGAGAAACACTTCCTGAGCTGCACGCGAGGCTTCGAGGAGCTATTCCAAGAGGAGATGACTCATGAGTGCGAGTCGGCTTTCTCGCGCATCGACCGCTTATATTCCAACCAGCACGCGGGGGAGACGATCGACCGGGAGTTCCGCGTGGCAGCGCTGGAGTGGCGACGGGATCTCTCCAATCATCGGCCTGTGTTCGCTTGCCGGCGGACGCCTGATAGGTCCGCTGCGGGCCTCAAGCCCCTCTCCGCCGACGCTTACCAGCACCCTGACTTTGTTCGACGAGTCAAGTTGGAGATGCAGGAGAGGCTGGCGGACGCCCCGAACATCTCGGCTTTGGGCTGTCTCCGCTTGCTGAAGACGGTGATGCGGGACGTCGCCTCGGGCCTTGCTCGGGAGTCCACGGGCTTCCAGGCGGCCACGGACGACGAGGACAAGCTGGGGGTAGTGATGCGCTTTTTACGGGCGGCCGAACAAAGATGCCCCTCTGCCATATCTCGGTGCTTGATTCGATACCCTCGCATCTTAGAGTTCGTGTGCAATCCGTATGACTTTGATGCCAACCTCTCTTCCTCCTTGCTCCGACTTCGCGATCACGCTGTGGAGCTCGCGCGGGACATCGCGTTGACCAGAACGCAGGCGTCCCGCGACGACGACGGCGACGACTGGATGGAGAAGAACAGGAAGCGGAAGAAGGGCTCGCGGCTCCTTTTCCGGCTGAGTCCAGGCAGGGGCGGCGGCCTCGGCGCCATCGTCGACAGGCACGGCCGGGTGGTCACCGACTCGCGCGGCATGGCGAACATATTGCGGAGCCACTGGGCGGCGACATTCGCAGCGACAGGCGCGGGCGAGAACAAGCTCGGCGACTGGCTTGCGGACGACGCGGCGGCCAGAGCTGCAAGTGGCCCGCCTCGCCTTGATTGGGGTGGCTTCCGGATTCGCCGGAAGGATATTTCGGCGGCCATCCGTCAGGCTAAAAATTGCTCTCCGGGACCCGACGGGATCCCCTACGGGGCCTGGCGTGCCCTGGGCAGCCTTGCCGTGGATACCCTGCACAACGCATTGCGTGATCTGGCATCACCGGATGGGCAGCGCATCCTGGAGCAGGATTTCCCGGACTTCAACGAGAGCTTGCTGTTCTTCCTCCCCAAATCCTCCAATGCTGCCGCCCCGGATGGCACCCCGGCGTACGAGGCACAGAATGTCCGGCCCTTGAACGTCACGAATTGCGACAACCGTCTGATCGCCAGCGCTGTCCGGATCGCGCTGGAGCACAAGATCGCGCCTACGATCGCGCAGGCCCAACGGGGGTTCTTACGAGGACGCTCCATGCTGGCCAACGTCGTGGACGTGGACGAGGCGATGGCGATGGCGGCCTTGAGCGGGGACACGGGCTTGGCCTTCTCCTTTGACCTGGCGGCCGCGTTCCCGTCGGTGGAGCACAGATTCTTCATGGCTTTCTTCGAGTCGCTGGGCTGGCCCGCTTGGCTCCTCAGAATCATCCGCAACCTATACCACCGTAACTTCTGTTGGATTTTCTTGGCTGGGGAACGCATGGAGGGATTTTCTTTGACACGGGGCATCCGGCAAGGTTGCCCTCTCTCACCCTTGCTATTCGCCATGGCAACGGACCTCGTCCTCCGACGTTTGTCCAGGACCACACCGGGCGCGACCATCAGGGCTTGGGCGGACGACATGGCGCTAGTACTGCCCAACTTCCGCGACAGGCTCGGGGCCCTCCAGGAGTTTTTCCTTGACCTGCAAAGGGTGGCTGGCCTGCGTCTCAACGTTCTCAAGACGGTCGCGGTGCCCCTGTGGCAGTTCGAGGAGGGCGAGGTGCGGGCCATCCTGGTGAACGAGGCTCCCGAATGGGGCGGGGTCAAGATCTCTTCCTGCATGAAGTACTTGGGCTTCAGGGTGGGTCCTGGCCGGAAAGACACTTCATGGTCCGCCCCTGTGGCCAAGTACATCGACCGGGCACGTCTTTGGGGCTCCCGGGGATTGGGGCTTCTGCTCACCCTGCAGGCATACAGGGTGTTCATCTCATCCTCCTTGCAGTTCGTGGCGCAGTTGGAAGAGCTACCAGGCGATTTCAAGGAGATGGAGGAGAGGGCGGCGCGCCTACTGCTGCCTGGCCCAGGGGGCTGGCTGTCTGCGGCCGCGGCCAAGGACTTGAAGGCGGCTCACTTTCCGGACCAGCTGGTGGACATGTCTGCTGTGGCCGTGGCCGCCAAAGCCCGGGTCCATCGATTCGAGGCGGACTCCATGGGAGGTCTGCAAGTGGAGGACCGCATACGTCGATTGGAGGAACCACCACTGGCTCACTGCTCCCTGGCCCACAGCGCCTGGGTGTCGCAGTGGGTGCGCAACTCGTTCTTGCACATCTTGTCCCGGGCGGCTGCTCACGCCAGCATGCTGCTGCAGCGCGCCGCCGGCGTGCGCTCGTGGATCAGCCTGCAGGCGGGATGGCAGGGCCAGATGACGAAATTGCTGGCTGTCGGCTGCAGGGGCGAGGCCATGCGGCACTTCCGCCGGAAGCTGGACAGGTGGCGGTTGGACGTCCTCCCCGGCCGACGAGTGGGCAGGGCGCTGAGGGTCTTGGACGTCCTTGCCCGCCGTTCCGCACCTCGGGTTCAGGCCGCGTTCATCCGGACGGTGACCAATGGTTGGTGCACCCGGCATCGTTTTCAACAGCGAGGCCATTGCCCCTTCCGCTGCGGGGCCGAGCGGGACTCCATCGAGCACCTGGCGTGCTGCAGCGCGGTGCACGCGCTCCTTTCCACCCACCTGCACGGCGGCAGCTTTCGGTCGCCGCAGACGCTCGACGATTTTCTTTGCCTTTCTTTGCATGCCTCCGAGGAGGAAGTTGTGTCGCGCGGAGTGGGGCTCTACGCCATCTACCGCTCATTTAATGCCCTCAGAAACGGTGGCCTTGCCCACAACGACTTGTGGGGGGCCTTCCGTCAATGCGCCCAGTTTGCGCTCTAGGCAGCTTTGGCTCTTGCGCGGGACAAGGCCCGGCCGCGTTTTGTGCTTATCCTTGCAGGGGCGTGGGGATAGCTTTCGGGCACGCGGTTGCCTTTCGTACCTTTCAAGTTTATATATCGTTTTTGGGGTGTACCGGCCTATCCTCGATTTGATGCCGGCCCCCGATGTTGCCCCCTCCTCTCCTCGTCCTCTTCCTCCTCCTCCTCCTCTCCTCCTCTCCTCTCCGCCTCGCCCTAGTGTGCATGATGTGGGAAGTACCAATGGCTGTCTAGGCCTTGGGGGGTACAGGCACATGGCACGCTTCGTTCCTCTGTCTCGGCGCAGCCGGCGTTAAAACTGTTAATGCAGTTTCCGCCCAATCCGGCGTTAAAAAAACTGTTAAATCAGTTTGCGCCCACTTCCGAATGCCACGGACCCCCCCCCCCAAAAAAAATCATCATATGGGATCGGCATGGGACTGTGTCCTCCCAAAGCGTGGATCCATTCTTTACAAGGGGTCGTGGCTTCGGCAGCTCGGGGCCACGGCTTTACACGGGGCCGTGACCCCGGGAACGCGGATCCCTTGTTTTGGTGTGGGAACGTGGCTAGAGCGGGCCCATTCTCTTTGAGTTGGAGTCGTGGCCTCGGAGGAGTGGACTCATCGCTTTCACGATGGATCGAAGCCTTGGGAGCGTGGACCTTTCGTTTTTTCCCCAGCCAACCTTTTGTGTTCGGTCCTCGTTTTGAAACAGCACCCCGCGTTCCGTTCCTCCTCGCTTCTCCTCCCCCTCCTCTGTCCTTCCCCTTCCGTCCCTGCCTCTGCCCTCCGCAGGTCTTCGTCGTCAGCATCATCACCATCAGCAGCAGCAGCATCATCATCATCACCATCACCATCACCATCACCATCACCATCATCACCATCATCATCATCATCAGCATCAGCATCAGCATCATCATCATTCTCATCATCACCATCACCATCACCATCACCATCATCACCATCACCATCAGCATCACCATCATCACACATCTCGGCACACCCCTCACACGCTTCGTGGCTCCATAGGGGAGCTCCACCAGAGGCCCCAGTGGATTCGCCCACATGCGTCCCGTTCATCTCGGCACACCCCTCACACGGTTCGTGGCCGCATTTGGAGCTCCACCGAAGGCCGCGGTGGTTGCGCCCACATGCGTCCCGCGCCCATCTCGGCACACCCCTCGCACGGCTTGTGGCCCCATTAGAAGCTCCACCGAAGTCCCCAGTGGCTGCGTCCACATGCGTCCCGCGCCCATCTCGGCACACCCCTCACACGCTCATGGCCTCATAGGGAGCCCCACCGAAGGCCCCAGTGGCTGCGTCCACATGCGTCCCGCGCCCATCTCGGCACACCCCTCTGACCTTACGTGGCCCCATTGGGAGCTCCACCGAAGGCCCCAGTGGCCGCGTCCACGTGCGTCCCGCGTTCACTTCGGCACACCCCTCACACGGTTCGTGGCTCCATAGGGAGCTCCACCGAAGGCCCAGTGGCTGTGTCCACATGCGTCCCGCGCCCATTTCGGCACACATCTCACACGGCTCGTGGCCGCATGTGGAGCTCCACCGAAGGCCCCAGCGGCCGCGTCCACATGCGTCCCGCGCCCATCTCGGCACACCCCTCACACGGTTCGTGGCCGCATTTGGAGCTCCACCGAAGGCCGCGGTGGTTGCGCCCACATGCGTCCCGCGCCCATCTGGGCACACCCCTCAGACGTTTCGTGGCTCCATAGGGGAGCTCCACCCGAGGCCCCAGTGGTTGCGTCCACATGCGTCCCGCGCCCATCTTGGCACACCCCTCACACAGTTCGTGGCCCTATTGGGAGCTCCACCGAAGGGCCCAGTGGCCGCGTCCTCATGCGTCGCGCGCCCATCTCGGCACACCCCTCACACGTTTCGTGGCTCCACGGGGAGCGGCACCGAAGGACCCAGTGGCTGCGTCCACATGCGACCCGCGCCCATTTCGGCACACATCTCACACGGCTCGTGGCCGCATGTGGAGCTCCACCGAAGGCCCCAGTGACCGCGTCCACATGTGTCCCGCGCCCATCTCGGCACACCCCTCACACGTTTCGTGGCCCCATAGGGAGTTCCCCCAGAGGCCCCACTGGCTGTGTCCACATGTGTCCCGCGCCCATCTCGGCACACCCCTCACACGTTTCGTGGCGCCATGGGGAGCTCCCCCAGAGGCCCCACTGGCTGTGTCCACATGTGTCCCGCGCCCTTCTCGGCACACCCCTCACACGGCTCGTGGCGCCATGGGGAGCTCCCCCAGAGGCCCCACTGGCTGTGTCCACATGTGTCCCGCGCCCTTCTCGGCACACCCGGGGCCATTGGAGGATTATTTCCACCCTACCGGACAGCACTTAGCGTCCTACCACGCCTCCACGTGCCACGGGGGCACGGGTGCGTATTCTTGGGAACGCCGCTCAGCGCAGAGAAAGTGACGCACCTTGTCCTGGATGAAGCAGACCGGATGCTGGAGGTTGGTTTTCTGCCAGACATCCAAAAGATCGTTGCTTTTTGCCCCCCGGGTTCCTGTCGTCGTGGTCGGCCGAGTCGTGGCGCGGCTGGCGTTCCTAAAGCCCAAACTTGTCGCCAGACTCTATTCTTCACTGCCACGTGGCCACATGCAGTGCAACAGATGGCATGGAGTGTGGTCGCCGCAACCGCCACAGTAGTCAGAGTTGCGCAGCATAATCTGCGCGATGTGACCGCGAACGAGTCTGTGGTTCAGCGTGTTGAGGTGATGGGCTACCATAGTGAGAAGCTGGCACGTCTCAAGGAGGTGCTAGGGCAAGACATGAACAAAGGAACTTGCATAGTATTCTGCAAGACAAAGAAAAGGTGTGATTGGCTTGTCGAAAAGCTTCGGGATCAATGTGGTTGGATACACGCCCTGCATGCTGGCAAAGAACAGAGTGAGCGAGAGCAAACGCTACAGAGTTTCCGTACGAGGACTACCAGCAGTGGCGAGCAGAAGAGTGTCTTGGTTGCGACAAATTTGGCTGCGCGTGGGCTTGATATCCCTGGTGTGACTTTGGTAGTGGTTTACGACTTCTCCGCAGTTGACGATTACGTGCACCAAATTGGCCGTACAGGGCGAGCAGGTTTGACAGGGCATTCTGTTGCGTTTTACGTGGGTGGTGATGGCGACGCGCAAAAGCTGATCAGAGTATTGAAGCAGGCAGGACAGGAGGTGCCTGCGGCACTTGTTGAGATTGCAGCAGCGGAGCAACCCACAAGTGCTGAATTGTTGTCGCTTCGCGAATCCCCACCAGCCCATCCAGAAACGATGCCCAGAGGAATTGCCTCGATCAGAGAAGTGGGCAGCACACAGAGGAAGCCATTATGAGACATCTTGGGATATCTTGAGCCATCTTGGAGGTCATTTTGGGCTCTCCCAGACGCTCTTGGAGTCATCTTAATCCGTGCCCCCCCCCAAGAGGCCTCCATGTGGCTAAAACCTGTGTAGAATCAATGATTAGGCATTCTCGCCGAGGCCTCTTGGAGCATCTTGGGTGCATCTGGGGGGGCTCTTGGGGCCTCTTGGGGGTCTCTTGGGGGCCTCCGGGGGGCCTCTTGGGGGCCTCTTGGGGCCATTTTGGGGCCATCTTGGGACCTCTTGGGGCTTCCTGGGCGCTTCTTGGGGCCATCTTGGAGGAGATCGATCAAACAAGAGGGGGGGGTGAATTAGCGCCCCCCCTCGGAAGCCCCTAAAATCGCCTCTTGGACCCCTCTTGGAACGCTCTTGGAGTGCTCTTGGGCGCTCTTGGGGCCGTCTTGGGGCTCTTTTGGGGCTCTCTTGGGGCCCTCTTGGGCCATCTTGGAGCCATCTCCAGGCCTCGGATGGCCATCGGAAGCGAAAAGGCGAGAAAGCAAAAATCATTGATTTTCCTTAGGTTTTGGGACGATTTTGGCCTCTTCGGGGCCTCCTTGGGGAGCTGTTTGGCCACTTGGAGTTATCTTGGGGCCGTCTTTGGGCTTCTTGGAACCATCTTAGGAGCCATCTCGAGCGATCTTGCGCTATCTTGAGCCATCTTGGAGCTCATCTTGGGTTCTCTGAGGCGCTCTTGGAGCCGTCTTGGGCCATCTGGGACGCTCTAACTACCCGCGGCCCCCCCCGTCCAGGTCCAGGGGAGGGGGTAGGGGGAGGGGTAAACCCCTCCCCAAGGGGGAAGAGGGAGGGGTGGAAGAGGATCTGCTCTAGACCACCTACGCCCAGAGGGCTGGTGGGATTTAAATGTAACGTGGCTGCGCCCACCGGACAGAAAAGTGAGCGGCGGAGGAAGAAGGCTGGTGCGATGGGTAAACAACTCCGCGCGCGTGCGGGAGAGCCGTGACACTGGCACACCCGTGCGCAACCGCCCAGCCCCCAAAAAACCTGTCTGCTCAGAAGGCCGCCCTCCCCCATTCTTAGGATGCAACTCCTGGGAGGTTACATTCAGCAGCGGCGCTGGTAGATCCGTGGCCGAAAACCAGCCTCATCCCGCCCAGTCCCGCATGTTCCCGTTCAATCTGGCCTAATCCCGCTTCATCTGGCCGACTCCAGGGCTCATCCTGGGCTGGGCTGGCCAAGTGGCCCCTAGATCGTGCCAGGGACCCTTGAGTCGTTTCGGCGAAGACCTTCCAGGAGTTGCCTCCGCATCACTCGCCCTGCCCCCCGGTGCGGAATCGTCCAGCAACCACAGCCTCCTGCTTTATCAGAACCCAGACCCCGACGTCATGTTTTTCTCCTGACGTGGACCCTCAGATGTCTGTACGCTTCTACTTGTTTTGGCTCGCGCATGGAGTGGGGCACAAACAAGTCTACAGCTCCCCACTGCTGTGCACGCTGTGCTCAAAAAGGGAACTCCCGAGCCTGGTGAAGGCCCCCGAAGGCTCAAAATGACAAAACAGACCGTCCGTCGTATTTTGTCCACGACGCGAGGAGGTCTGGGAAGGCCCACCTCTTGCCCCCCCTCGCCCTGCCCCCCTGTCTGCTTGCCCTGCCCCCCGCGGCGTGCCCTCTCCCTGCCCCCCCTGCGCCCCTCGCCGCTTGCTCGCCCCTGCGCCCGTCTGCCGGCCCTGACGCCCTGCCCCCCCTCCCCCTCCCTCGGAAGGCCGCCCTCTCCCCCCCCCCTCGCCAAGGGCGACGTTGTCCACACAGCTTCTTTGTTGTCCACACAGCTTCTTTGTTGTCCACACAGCTTCTTCGTCCGTGCTCCTACGCCGTGCTGCTCTGCAGTTGTTCACCCTGGGTAGGCTCACCTGGGCGATCTTCCGGATCTGCTGATCAGTTGGGCACTAATGGCAGTCGTTTGCAGCAGTGGAGGACGGAACAAAAAAAAACCTCGCCAGGGGCGACGTGAGGGGGGGATCGGCTCCACCGGGGGGTTCGACATTCGGGCTCGTGCTTCGCTGGGTTTTCGCACGTTTCCGACGGTTCTCGGCGGCTCCGCGGCCTCAGGGTGTTCTCCAGCGGCTGCGCCTCGCCGAGAGCGTTCCCGGGTGCCCGGATCGTCCCGAACGGCTGCCGGGGGGCCGAGCTATGACCGGGGGACAATGCTTCGGGGGGGGATCGGTTCTGCGGGGGGGGGGCCTGATAGCCCCTCCGCCCGCCCAGGACTGCGCGGATCCGCTATTGGAGCTCTTTCGCCGATCCATCGGCGATTCATCGCTGGTTCGAGCATGACGCTTCCCCCCCTGAGCCAGTCCCCATCTCGCGCCCTCCCCCCCCTCCTCGAGCTTCGGCCCCTGGACCTGTCCCGGGGCGCGTGCTGGCCGGTGGGTCGAGGCGTGTCCAGCCGTGGCCACGAGGAGCCTCCCAGAGGCGCGGCAAGGGCGAAACTCGGGCGTTGCGTGATGTGGGGGCGATGCGCGGGGGGGCGGTGAAGAGTAGTGCACCTGTCGTGCACCTTAGGGGCCCTACAGGTCCCCCCTGGGGCCCGAAAAGGGGCACGGGAGGTGCACGTTTCTCCCCGCGTCCCCCGGATGAGCGCCCCCTCGTGCAGCAACGCCCAACGGGGTCCTCGGACCTGGACCCTCGAACCCCGATCTGGGGTCTGTTCCCCTCCCCCTCCCCCGCCCCTGCAGCCTCCCTGCGGGGACCTCCCCTGGAGCAGTGCTAAGGGGATCATTACCAGGGCGGTCGCCACCTTCTCCACAGGATCGAAGTTTCAGGATCCAGGGTCCGGGAGGCTTTTGAGTGGTCGCGGGCGCTTTTGCAGGTTCTGGCTGGGTTGGGGGCCCATGAGGGGTCCCACTTCTCGAGGAAGCAGGCCCTGTCTTCCCAGACCCCCGGCGCCGTGATGTTTCCACGGCTCTGCGAGGAAACCGGCCCTGCCGTGCCTTCCCTCCCAGACCCCCGACGTCATGATTTTTCGGAAGCGTGGGCCCCAGGAGCTCTCGCCCCGGTCCCCCGGGCCGGCTTCTCATCCAGAGCCGGGCCCCCGGAGGCCGAAAGCAGCATCATAAAGGCAGGTTGTTTGATTCTGACAGCTCGTAGCTTTGATTCGGGGTCCTCATGTCGTGCCCCCCTGGAGAGGAGGGGGAGAGAGAGAGAGAGAGAGAGCAGGGAAAGAGAGAGAGAGAGAGAGAAAGATCGGGCGAGGGAAAGAGAGAGAGAGAGAGAGAGTGCAGTAAACAGAAGCAGAGCACGGTAGAAAGAGAGAACGAGAGATTGAGAGAGAGAGAGGGCGAGAGAGGGATGATCTGGGGTGGACCGTTTGTGCCGTCGTTCCTGAGCAGTACAGGCGTACAGACGAGCAAATGATTAAGGAACCTCACCCGAAAAGCTGGGCCAGCGTTTCTCAACTAACTTGTTGGAACGCTGGCCCAGTTTCTTGAGCACGTTCGCCCCCTGCCCCTGTAGCGTCAACAACAGATGTTGGTCCAGGCTTAGTTTCAGAAGCTGCATGTAAACTGGTCCAGGTGTCTTAAATGATAAATCTCTTGATGATACAGAGTCGGCTGTACAGACAGAGAGAGCGGGGAGGCTGCCACCGCGAGGGGTCTGGACTCCTTCCCCCCCGAGGTGCCTCTGGGCCTGGCTAGGCCCGGGCGAGCCAGTGGGCCACCCCGAGGACGGCCTGGCGGACACGCCCTTGCGAAGCGTTGAGGTCGTCGACACGTGACCCCTCGGTCGTGTCGTCTGAGGCTTGGGCCGCGGGGTCGAGGGGAGGAGGAGGAGGAGGAGGAGGAGGAGGAGGAGGAGGAGGAGGAGGAGGAGGAGGAGGACGAGGACGAGGACGAGGACGAATCGGAGGAGGAGAGGAGGAGGAGGAGGAGGAGGAGGAGGGGGAGGGGGAGGAGGAGGGGGGGGAGGAGGAGGAAAGGCAGGCAGAGCAGGAAAAGAGGAGGAGGAGGAGGTGGAGGAGGAAAGAGAGGAGGAAGAGGAAGAGGAGGGGTTGGACGAGGAGGAGGAGGAGGAGGAGGAGGAGGAGACGGAGGAGGAGGAGGAGGAGAAGGAGCAGAAGGAGGACGAGGAGGAGGAGGAAGAAGAATGGAAGGCAGAGCAGGAGGAGGAAGAGGAGGAGGAGGAGTGGAATGAGGAGGAGGAGGAGGAGGACGAGGAAGAGAGGAGGAGGACCACTGTAAACCCAAGATTGAATAACGATGTTGGAAGTAACCCTCCCTCCAAGGTCCCTCTACATAGGCCCCTACATCGGTTCATTTCTTTTGAGGGAACTGCCTCGTTGGAAGACAACCGCTTGGAGATCCGGAAGCATGCCAAAACATGGTTCTCGGGAGTTCAACGCCACGTATCAACCTGACATTTCAACACCGCGAATCAACAGAACTGCTGCACCCGCATAATCCTGAATCCTGCCGAACTATTTCCTGGTATGCTGACCATGGGAATCCGTGAAATTCTTGCAACATTTGAAAACGAATGTGCGCGGCGCTAATGCGAGAGCCACGTTTTGAAAACGACCCTGCGTCAATCTGTGAGACTCTCGCAACTTTTTAAAATGCATGTCCGCGGCGCTAAGGCGAGAGCCGCATTTTGAAAACGACCCGCCCTCAATCCGTGAAAACCTTGCACATGTTTAAAACGAATGTGCGCGGCGCTCGGGCGAGAGCCATATTTTGAAGTCGACCCGCCCTCAATGCTTGAAGCTCTTGCTCATTTTTGGAACGAATGTGCGCGGCGCTCAGGCGAGAGCCACATATTCAACACGACCCGCCCTCCATCTTTGCAGCAGTTGCCACATTTGCCAGTTTCAGATTCATGCTTGTTACGGGAGTCTCAGGCGAAACGCCCGGCCCGCCCTAAAAACTTGCCTCGGGGTGCGCCAGGGAGAAGTTATCTATAAGGAGAAGGAATGGAGGATGAGGAGGCAGATCAGGAGGAGAAGGAGGAGGAGGGGGAGGAGGAGGAGGAGGGGGATGAGGAGGAGGAGGAGGATGAGGAGGATCCGTAACCATTTTGGCTCAAGCTTGCCTTGGGCGCGAGGCGGGCTAGGTGCTAGCGTTTCTCTCCTGCTGCTGCTGCTGCTGCTGCGCTCGAGGGCGGCTCTATCCACCTCCCCTTTGCCGCGGCCCCCGCGATGGCGGACCGCACCAAGGGAATGGCTACGGCGGGCTGCCCGTGGAGGGGCGGCCCCTACGGGCAGCGGGCCCGAGAGACCGCTGCCATGGGCGCCACGGCGGCTCGCCGTGCGGCGCGGGCGCGCAGGCTGGCGGCGGCGGAGGCTGCAGTGCCGAGGCGCGGGCGCCGGGTGCCTGGCTCGTGGGAGGACTGCGAGTTGGCCGCTCGGTCGGCCCTCCGCCTGGCAGCCTCAGGCCAGAGGGTGCCCGGCGGCGCGCGGTACCGCCGCAACGCCGCCTGGCATGCGGCCTGGGCGCCGCGGCGTGGTTTCGCCGCAGCATCGCGGGCGGAGCTGGACACTGCGTGCGCGGGGCCGCGCCTCGGGGCCTTCCCGTGCTGGGACGACGTCAGCTCCGTGGCGAAGGTCTACCACGTGGCGGACCTGGAGGCCAGCCTGCTGAATGCCGCCGACGGGGTGGAGGCGCAGGAGCCACACCTCGACGGCCCCACGCTGTCCCTCGGCCTCGAGGACGGCGTGCCCTCGCCCATCGTGTCGGCGGGTGGGGTCGAGGAGGAGGTGTACGAGGAGGGGGGCCCCAGAGCCCCGAGGGCTGGAGGACACAGCCCAGACGACACGGAGCACGGCCTCGACGACACGGATTGCGTGCTCTCGCCCCTCGTGTCGTCTCTCGGTCGAGGAGGGGGTGTGCGAGGGGCTCCCGTTTCTTTCGCACTTTCCTCGGCAGAGTATATTGAGGAAATCGAGGCGCAGCGGCGGGCTTGGGCTCTGGGGCGCCCAGGCCGCGCCGCTCAGCCGTTCGTGCGACGCTGCGCACGGGTTGAGGCCTCGATGGCTCGTGATCGCTGTCCGCTGGAGTTGCGCCCTGGGAGCGAGGCCGCGTATAACGGACAGGAGGCCCAGGGGTTCGGGTTCGCTTTCTCTGCCACGGACTTGGCCATGGTCATGGAGGAGGAGTCCGACTCCGAGGCGGTGGGACATGTTGTGCTCGACCGCCATAGGCGGCCACTCAGCAGGGACGCTGCCTGGGAGGAATACCTCGGCATCGAGGCCCGAGGCTCTCGCCTCACGCTTCACGTTCGGGCCCGCTTCGAGGAACTCGCAGGTTTCCTGGGCGTCGTTGACGAGTGAATTTTCTACCCAGTACCGTTCCGTTTTAGCCGCCTCGTTACAGGCCTGCCAGTGGTGACGGCCGGCATCGGAACCAACAGGAGCCAACAGGAGGAGGAGGAGGAGGAGGAGGAGGAGGAGGAGGAGGAGGAGGAGGAGGAGGAGGAGGAGGAGGAGGAGGATAATGAGAGGGGAGGAGGAGGAGGAGGAGGAGGAGGAGGAAGGAGGAGGAGGAGGAGGAGGAGGAGGAGGAGGAGGAGGAGAGGAGGAGGAGGAGGAGGAGGAGCGAAGGAGCAGGAGGAGGAGGAGGACGAGAAGGAGGGGAGGAGGAGGAGGAGGAGGAGAGGAGCAAGAGGAGGAGGACGAGAAGGAGGAGGAGGAGGAGGACGAGGAGGAGGAGGAGGAGAAGGAGGAGGAGGAGGAGGAGGAGGAAAGGAAAGCAGAGCAGGAGAAGGCGGAGGAGGAGAAGGAGGAGGAGGAGGAGGAGAAGGAGGAGGAGGATGATCAAAGGAAGGCAAAGCAGGCGGAAGAGGAGGAGGAGGAGAAGGAGGAGGATGAGGATGAGGAGAAGGATGAGGAGGAGGAGAATGGATGATGATGATGATGATGATGATGATGATGATGATGATGATGATGATGATGATGATGATGAGGAGGAGGAGGAGGAGGACTGAGGAGGAGGAAAGGAGGAGGAGGAGGAGAGGATGAAGATAATGAGGAGGAAGAGGATGTGGAGGAGGAGGAGGAGGGAAAGGAGGAGGAGGAGGAGGAGGATAAACAGGCAGAGCAGGAGGAGGAGGAGGAAGAGGAGGAGGAGGATGTGGATGAGGAGGAGGAGGAGGAGGAGGAGGAAACCGATGATGAGGAGGAGTATGAGGAGGAGAAGGAGGAGGAAGAGCAGGAGGAGGAGGAGGACAGGAAGCAGAGCAGGAGGAGGAGGAAGAGGAGGCGGAGGAGGAGAAGGATGATGATGATGATGCTGATGATGATGATGATGATGATGATGATGATGATGATGATGATGATGATGATGATGATGATGATGATGATGATGATGATGCTGATGATGATGATGATGCTGATGCTGATGATGATGATGATGATGATGATGATGATGATGATGATGATCTGATGATGATGATGATGATGATGATGATGATGATGATGAGGAGGAGGAGGAGGAGGAGGAGAAGGAGGCAGAGCAGGAGGGGGAGGAAGAGGAGGAGGAGGAGGACACATATGATCAGGAGATGAGGAGGAGGAGGAGGAGGAGGAGGAGGAGGAGGAGGAGGAGCAGGAGGAGGATGAGGTGGAGGAGGACATAAAGGCAGAGCAGTACGAGGAGGAGGAGGAGTTGGAGCAGGAACGGGAGGGGAAGGAGGAGGAGGATAGGGAGGAGGAGGAGAAGGAGGGGAAGGAGGAGGAGGACGATGAGTACTTTAGAATGCGATGACGCCGATGCCTCTCAACATGCTCGCCCACTAGCGGCCCCACTGCAGTGTGCAGGGGTGCCCTTGAGCGGCGGCCTAAAGCCGCTCAGAACGACGCAACAATGCTACCCCCTTCTGCGGTGTGCTGCCATTCGTCCTTCTGCCACTCTTTGTCGCAGGCTCCCAACAATCGCTGCAACTTCAACAACATATCGAAGGACCCGGCCATGTGCAGTTGAGGGTACTGCAACTGCGAATATCTTCTTGCGTGAAGCTCCCTATGGGGCCACGAAGCGCTGCACTGGGTGGGGTGGGGGGGGGAACGCATTCGGGCGGTAGCACTGGGGCCTTCGGTGGAGCTCCCTCTGGGGCCACGAAGCGCTGCACTGGATAGGGGGGACGCAAGCGGGCGGTAGCACTGGGGCTTTCGGTTGAGCTCATGATGGGGCCACGAAGCGCTGTACTGGGCGGGGGGGGCGCATGCGGGCGGTAGCACTGCGGCCTTCGGTGGAGCTCCTTACGGGACCACGAAACGCTGTACTGGGTTGGGGGGAACGCATGCGGGCGGTATCGCTGGAACCTACGGTGGAGCTCCCTATGGGGCCACGAAGCGCTGCATTGGGTGGGGGGACGCATGCGGGCGGTAGCGCTGGGGCCGTCGGTGGAGCTCCGCGTGCATTAGATAGAGTGCAAAGGGCAAGTGAGGCGCCTTGGGCTGGGCGAGCGCGAGTCAAGGCACTCGTGGCCATTTTGGCTCAGCTCGAGCGTTCGCTGCGCCAAGTCCCTTCGGTCCACTCTGGGCCAGGCTTCCCTTCTCATACCCACATCGCCGATCTTGCCACATGGAGTTCGCAGGCTTCGCTGCCATGGGCACACCTGCTGGGGGCGCGGCTGAGGCCGGGCCCGCACCCGGGCTGGGGTCGGCCCCTGGAGCGGGGTCTGCGATGCCCGGCACGCCCAGCCTCGGGCTGCGGGCCGCCCCCTCCGCGTTCACGGGGCTGCTACTTGCGACCACCTTGGACTCCCTTGGGTTCGAAGGTCCCCTCGGCGAGGCACTGGTGGCCGCCGTCGGCGGCGACGAGACCACCGCAGTCACAGACTTCGTGTCGATGCCCGAGGGCGACCTGGTCCAGGCCCTCGAGACGCTCGTGGTGGAAGGCGCCACCGTGACGGGCGTTGGCCGGGGGCGAGCCGTGCGCGCCATCCGCGCGGTGTTCGACGTAGCGAAGCTGCCGATGCCGAGTCTGGGCGCCGCGCTGCCGGTGGCCCCGCCTTCCTGGCCAGCCGCTCCTCCGACGGAGCCGTCGACGCCGGCCGTGGGGGGCGAGAGGCGCGTGGCGGACTTCCTCGACCAGGGCGGCGAGGGGTCCTTCAGCATCCTCAGCAAGGAGGCGATCACGGAGGCGCGCCAGCGGTACATCCAGGTCACAGGTGGGCCGCCACATACAGCCGCACGGCCAGCGGAGGAACAGTTGTCGGGCATCTCGGCGAAGATCGGCAAGTCCGCGCCGTGCGTCGACTTCGCCGCGTTCGGGTCGCATGGCCGCCGGGCGGCTAAAGCCCGCAAGTTCGCGGCCCAAGCGTTCGTCGACGGCGAGCTGGCGACGCGGATGCTGACGGGCCCTTCGAACTTCGAGGCCTGGCGGGCGTGCTGGCTCGTCTTCCGGTCGCGCGTCATCGCCCAGGGCGCGGCGCCCCCTTCGGCACTCGACGAGTGCGAGGAGGGCATCCGCCAGCGCTCACTCCTCTACCCCGACTATTGGGGCGTCATCCTGAGGGCCGACGACACGGTGCGGTCTGAGTTGTGGGGCGCCCACATGGAGGAGTACCTGGCGATGGGGGGCCCCGCGGACCAGGCGTGGGCGCGCGTCATCGGCAGGGCCGCGTTTGGAGGCGAAGACGCGAAGATGGCCCACTGGTGGTGGATGCACGTCACCGCCCCGTGCCTGCCGCGCGGCCACCCGGCGGGGCGCCAGTCGGCAGGCGTTCTGGTCGACCGGTTGGAGGGCGCGCCGTCGGCCGCGTTGCCCGACGCTTCGGCGGCCCCGCCCCGCCCGCAGCAGCGCGGAGGCGGGCGCGGGCGCGGCGGACAGCGACAGGGCGGCACCCAGCAGCCGTCGCAGCAGCCGCAGCAGAGGCCCGTTGGGCCCACGAAGCCCGCAGGGGGAGGCCGCGGCGGCCAGGGCTCCGCTCCAGACAAGGCCTCGGAGATCTGCAACCTGTGGAACGACAAGGCCGATGGCTGCCGCACGCCTTGCCGGCGGGGGCGCAGGCGCGTTTGCCGCGTGTGCCAGGGCCGCCACCGCGCGATCCATCGCGAGTGAGGGGGGGCGCGGACTCGGGGCTGGGGGCTCGTCGCCCTGGGTCCGAGCGCCCCCCTCGCGGCGCCCTTCGCTGGTGCGCCGCGATCGCCCTCGCCCGCGTCGGACGGGCAGGCGGCCGACCCCCCTGGGAAGGCAGCATGAGCTGCTCGCCCGGACAGCGGACGGTCGGGTGCGCCGCCACGTCCTGCGCGGTGCCACCGCTGCGTCAGATGCCGACGCCAGGCGCGCGGAGAATTCCGCATGCCGCGCGGGGTTGAGGAACCGGGGGGCCCTTTGGCGGGCGTGGCCAGCCCCGTGGTCTGCGATGGCCCCCATTGCGAAGATCCTCGCGGACCATCGTGACCAGAGCCCCGACTTGCGCGGGCTCGCGGGCGCGTGCGGCGCAGCGCCCGCTCGCCCCCAGCCGAGCGTGGGCAGCCTGCGTCGCGTCCGCCAGGCGGTCGCAGAGCACCTGCGCCTCAGCGCGGAAACGGCAGAGGGGCACCATGCAGCGTCGACCTGGCGCGCGGAGCTGGCGCGCGCCGCGCAGGCGCGGGCTGGGGGCCCCGATGCAGCCCTCGCAGGTTGGCTGGCCGAAGGGGCGCCGATGGGCATCAAGCGAAGGATCGAGCCTGGGGGATTGTTCCCGGCTGCCCCCTCCGAGGCGTGGCTGACCGTGGAGGAGCTGCTCGGCCGAGCGGAGCTCGCGAACCACCCGTCCTTCCTTGACCTCCACGGCCAGGACAGTCCGCCGGGAGTCGAGCAGGCCCAGGTGCTCGTGGATCAGGGCTTCGGGGTTCTCTTCGAGAACAGGGCCGCGGCCGAGGCCCACTTCGGGGCGCTGGTGTTCCCAGCGCCACTCGGCAACATCGCGACGGACCAGCCAGACGGCAGGACGAAGCATCGCGTCATCCAGGACTTGAAGGCGAACTGCGTCAGAAAGGCGGTGGCCCTCACCGAGCGCCAGGTCTTGCCCGCGATCCTCGACCGCGCCATCGACCTCGCGATGCTCTCCGCGCAGGCCCGCGAGGGGGAGGTCGTGTGGACACTCGTATTGGACTTCGCGGATGCGTTCATGTCGGTACCGCTCCACGTCGACGAGCAGCCGTTCAATTGTGCGCACGTTGGTCGGAAACTCCACAGGAACAGGCTTGCGCTTTACCCCCAGGAAGCCGCCGAGGGGGACTTCGTCGTGTGGCGCGCCCTCGGGTTCGGCGGCGCACCTAACCGCGTCGTTTTCGGCCGGGTTGCCTCTTTCGCGGCGCGGACGGCGCAAGCATTGCTTCGCCCGTTCGCGCAGTCGACGGCTGGTCACGCTGGCGCGGCCGCAGGCAGGCTTCAGTTCTACGTGGACGACCCGGTCCTGTCCGTCGCGGGCACCCCGGCGGCCGCGCAGATGGCCATCGACCTCGTGCTCATCTCGGCGTGCCGCTCGCGTGGGGGAAGGGCGCCCTGTGCCAAGGCAAGCGCGCGTGGATCGGCGCGGTCTTCGTCGCGCTGGTTCCCGGTGAGGTCCACCTCACGTTGCCTTTGGCCTTCCTCGCGGGCCTGCACGAGCAGCTCGCCCCCTTTGCGGCGGGCTCTGGGCATGCCCCCATGGCGGCCGCGCGCCGGGTCGCGGGGAAGTGCGCTCGGGTGGCATACGTTGTCCCAGACGCGGCGCCCTTTGCCGCGGCGCTGTGGGGGGCCCTCGCCGGCGCCGAAGCGGCCAGCCGCGAGGCGCCGCCTGGCCGCGTGGCGCGCAGCAGGTTCGCCGCCGTCGCGCGGTGGCTTCTGGCGCTGCTGGGATCGATGGGCTGGTTATGATCTACTTCTGGAGGTTATAACTAGATATAACACACTTGTAACATACTTATATGCTGCTTATAATCGTAGTAAAGGAGTTGTATACACAGTATCTATGTTAACCGAGCGCATAACATGATACAGTGGTTGTGTAAGTACGCTATCTTCCGAAAGAGGTTAAGCGAGAGTTAGAGGAACGAGGCCAAGCAAGATACGTGAACTTCCGTAGCACATAGCGGACTTATGCATCTTGGTTATAAGCTGGCAAAGCTAGATACGCAACTTTCCCTAACCAGGATAGCAACCAGGCTAGCAACCAGGATAGCAACTAGGATAGCAACCAGGACAGCAACTCTTCTCCCATCCGTTTGGAGCATTTTGCGCCCAAGCATTCGATGGCGGTCGAGGATTCCCAGCCTCTTGTTTCGGGAAATCGTCCTTGCACGGCCGCCCCGATGGTAGCGTTGACAGAGTTGGCGGAGCAGATCAATGGTATCATCCAGGCCCACATGGGCGGCGAGGCCAATCAGATTCGCACTGCGGCCGAGCGCATTGTGAAGATGCTGATTGCTGCGGGCCTTGCATTTGTCAACAAGTGCCAGTGCGACAACGTGGGCACCCACATGCACAACAGAGATGGCACTGGCCTCGACGTAGAGAAAGTACATACGTTGGCCCAGCGGATCTGCAACCAGGGTTGGGTTTGGGAGGAGGTCCGCAACGCCTGGGCGTTCGAGATGCCGCCGGGCGATCAGCGACAGGCTCAATTTCAATTCAACGTTCAGCTTGTCAACTCGGCCGAGGGTTACTTGGCCCCGTGGGAGGATATCAACGCGCTGAGGTACCTGAGCGTCACGTCCAGCCACACTGTCGCTGGCCTTCGCTGCGTCAAGTGATGCGGCAGAAACATTCACCGTACTTCCCAGGATGTGCACCCAGATACAACAATATTACAAGAGTACGTTTATAATTATATAGCATTAATTATACAAAAAAACGGGGGGTAAATCATACCAATAGGAAGTGGTGTCTGTTTCGGCCCAGGTTCGGCGCCAGGTCGGACCAAGCGGGGATCAGCACAGGCGGCAAAACATCTCGCGACGTAGTGTCCGAGATCGCTCCGAGCTACTTGGAGGCCGTCGACAACGGGATGGACTGGGCCATCATCCGGCACGAGGTCGAGGCAGCATGCCCGATGCTGCCTCATTTCCTGCAGGAGTCAGGGAATGCAGGACATGGTACAGAGCAGGTGTGTTCGAAAATACAGGCCCTCCTTCGCATCCACCAGCGTGCGAAGTTCATGGGGAACGACTGGGACAAGGCCCACATGGGCCCGAACTCTGAAACATCTAAGTTAAGCAAGCAACGAACACAGATCTACTATATATGTATATATATGTATATATATATATACAACATGTATTTTTATATATATATATATATATATACAGACACACATATATGTATTACCCTACAGAGCTCTCATGGTCCCAAGGCCCTCCCCAATGGGTTTCAAAAATCTGTGTTGCCGACCCCGAGGTCACGACTGCCGTGGAGAAGACGCCCCCGCACCTGTCGGGCCACGTGCGCGATATGTGCGACTTTGTTGAACAGTATTCTGGCGGATCAGATACACCACATTGCTTGACTGACCTTGAGACGTGGGCAAAGACGCGGAAGGTCTCAAAGGACGTCGAGGGAAGAAGCTTCAAGATGTTGGCGAAGATTCTTTTCAAGCAAGGGCCCGAGCACGTCGTCGGCATGCTGAAGGCCATGGTTGCCTCTCCAGGTGCATTCGTCAGGGATGGAGTGAGCCGCCCCCTCACGAGTTCCGACTGCGATGCCGTGACCACCACCAAGAAAGCACATTGCCTCCGTGCCGCATCTTACACCAAGTCGGGGAAAGCATGGTTGGAGTATTCCGTTCCTGAGCTCGGAAACCATCAGGTTGCCATGCTAATCGGAGACTTTCAGATACGATTGGTCATGCACGTGCATGGCAAGAAGGCGAAGGGCTGGACCATCTACAAGTCGGTCGACGAGGTCGCCTCGGCCATGCTCGACGACGTGTTCGCGATTTTCCCCGCGGGCGCAGTGGGCGCACCTGCCATGGACGTTCATCCCCAAGTCGCCGAAGGCCGATGAGAAGAAGGGCACGATCGTGCAGTTCGGCAGCAGCGGCGGCATCGACGAGGCGGTGCTGGCTCGGATGGACTTCCAGAAGGGCAAGCAGGTCGTGTCGAACAAGGACTCCAGCAAGATCTACACCATAGCGTCGATCGGGAAGGGGATCGCGACGTTCAAGGTCGAGGAGCGTCAGGCGACCAAGCTGCCTAACACGCTCGACGCCGCGAAGCTGGCGGACGAGTTCAAGGCTTGATTTGATCCAGTGGGATGGCGGTGAGGAGGGGGAGAGGAGGAGGAGGAGGAGGAGGAGGAGGAGGAGGAGGAGGAGGAGGAGGAGGAGGAGGAGGAGGAGGAGGAGGAGGAGGAGGAGGAGGAGGAGGAGGAGGAGGAGGAGGAGGAAGGAGAGAGAGAGAGAGAGAGAGAGAGAGAGAGAGAGAGAGAGATAGAGATAGAGAGAGAGAGAGAGAAAGAGAGAGAGAGAGAGAGATAGAGAGAGAGAGAGAGAGAGAGAGAGAGAGAGATAGAGAGAGAGAGAGGAGGAGGAGGAGAGGAGGAGGAGAAGGAGGAGGAGGAGGAGGGTGAGGGAGAAGAGGAAGTGGAGGCGGAGGAGGAGAAGCAGGAGGATGAGGAGGAGGAAAATGAAGAGGAGGCAAAGGAGGGATGACGGGGAGGAGGGACGTGGACAAGGAGGTTGGGAACGAGGGGAGGGGTTGTGGACAGGGGGCATAAACATCAGAACGCCTCCAGTTAGCCGAGATCTCCGAGTCCGTGGATTTCACCACCGGCGACGCTCACGACGCGTCCAAGATGCTGGACAGCACCCTAATGTGTTTCCGTTGTTTCTCACTCGTTCTCCCCGTGTAAAGCCACCCACATAAACATTCCGAAACATCAAAAAGCTTAAAGCCCGACCTGGGAGGGGATAGAAAAAGGGGGTCAGGGAGGACGAAACAAGACGAAATATACACGTGGTATCTGCGCCACGCTCACACATTTACCCCATCCCTCATCCGCCATCCTCCTCCCCCTCCTCTTCCTCCTCCTCCTTCTGATCCTCATCCTCCTTCTCCTCCTCCGCCTCCTCCTCCTCCTGCTCCTCCTCCTCCTCCATCCTCCAATCCTTGCCTCAATCGCCCCGCCCGCCCGCAGGACTACGGTGACATGGGCATCGAGATCATGAAGGCCAACTGCAGGGTTGCCTTGGGGAGGGCTTCGATGCGCTGGCGGGTGCCTTCAGGCGCTGTCGTTTTGACGGTTGCCAAGGGCGGGAAGGGCCTTGTCGAGAAGATCTGCACGTCGCAGGCCTTCGAACAGTTCGAGCTTGCCCTAGCCCCCTTCACCCACAACATTGGCTCTGGCCCCAAGAAGCCCACCGACGGAGTTGAGCTCATGATGATGGGCGATGCGTCCAACAAGCTTTGTATTTGGCTGACCCCGAATACCGAATATCCAACTGAGGGGAAGACGGGCTTCCTTGCGCCCTACTGGTTGGTGCCGACGGCCTGCGACAGCACAGAGGCAAACATGGCCAGGTCTTCGAAGCAGATCGTCATCACTGCAGGGGAGCTCGGGGGTGCCGCGGATGCCACAACTCTGACCATCCCCGTGCTATGGAACACCAAACCCCTGAAGGCTGGGGACAAGCTCTTGCTGTCGGGGCTGGGTGTGAAAGGTAAGAGTAGCAGCGGCGGCAGCAATGCGCCCCCCCCCCCCCCCCCCCAGAAGAGGGCGAAGGGTGCATGAGTAACCTGGCGATCCTCGCTGGCACATGGTGGGCATAGGACATAAGTGCACATAAATGTAAGGATGATGAAAAGGAAGAGGAAGGGGGGGGAGAGGGGGAGGGGAGGGGCGAAGGAAGGATGGGGGAGGCGAGAGGGGGAGGGGAGGAGGAGAGAGTGAGCGAGGGGGAGGGGAGGAATGACAGGGGGAAGAATGAAGGGCTCACCTCTAAACAGTGGAATGCAAGGGGATCGGATATCAACGTGCCCACACTGTCAACGCAGCATCTGCTGTACCAGCTAAGGTGACTCACCTGCAACCTCGACGTACCGATCTCTCACGCTGTCACTCCACATGTGTCTCTACATACAGTTGCTGCGTGGTTGTGTGATTGCGATTGGACCTCTGTATGGTATGTATGTAGGTGCTCCTGTCTGTATGTGTTTATAGCATCGCACAAAATGGGGAATACCACTTTTCGTTGTATGCCGCAACACACACATATATAACCACATACCCCTAGGTATACTTGTACATGTGTGTATACCATTATACGCGCGAGTGCACGCGCGCCGTGAACTACTTGGTGCAATCATGTCTAAGGTACCGACACGTCGATGGCTGTCACCTATAGGTTCGTGCTTTGTGTTTGGTATCTCCGTCAGTGGTCATGTGTCCTCTCATATCTCTCTCCTTCTCTCGCTCTCTCTCTCTCTCTCTCTCTCTCTCTCTCTCGCAGTCTTGCGTATGCGTTTTCCTCAGTGAAGCGTGCTGTGCTGATTGGCAGACTCATTGCCTTGCTTTTGCGGGACTCCGAGCAAGTGGAGTCGCGACCCGATTCAGCAGATCAGCGGAGTGGTGGGCGACCACTCGTGTCAGCTTCACTGTGCTTCCCAGTAGGTTTAATTATCCATGCCGCGCGCGGTGTCTCACGCTCGGTAGAACACGAATGCCCCGCGGGGGCCAACCTCGACAGCGTCCGAAAACCTAACCCCTAGGAGCCCTCCTACCGACGAGGAGCCCGCCTACCCTTAAGCCGGACGTAAACCACTAACCCCGAGCGGCGTAAAACACTAACCCCCAAGCGGCGACGACGGCGTCGGCGGCGCCGACGACGACGACGACGACGACGACAACGACGACGACGACAACGACGACGACGACGACGACGACGACGACGACGACGACGACGACGACGACTACGACGGCAACGACGGCCCCTGGCAACATAAGCGGCAATCATGCATGCGAGCCACCCTCCTACCACAAGTCCCACCAGCCCTCTGGGCTTATGTGGTATAACGCGTGTGTTTCTTCTCTCTACCCCTCCCCCCACCCCCTCCCCTGGGTTTGGGGGGGGGGGGGGGGGGCGGAGGCGCAGCGGCGTCCAAGATGGCCCAAGAAGGCCCCAAGGGGGCTTCAAAATCGCAAGGTGGCCTCCAAGATAACCCATGCTACTTCAAGATGGGTCAAGACAGCCACCGACGTGCCCCCAAGAGGCTCCAAGACGGCCCCAAGACGGATCCATGTGCCCTCCGAGCCCTCCACGGCGTCCTCCAAGATGCCCAAACCCTTCAACGCCCTAGGGAAAATCAATGTTGCTGACAGTATCGCCGTTTCGCTTCCGATGGGCGTTGGAAGCCTCAAGATGGTCCCAAGATGGCCCAAAAGAGGCTCAAGAGGGGCCCAAAAGACGGCCCCAGGATCGCCCAGAGCGCTCCAAGAGGGCCTCAAGATGCCGTGTGAGAGCCTCCGGGGGGGCGATGCTAATTGAGGGACCTCCTCTTTTTGAGTCATGGGGCCCAATATGGTCCCACGGGGCCTCCCAGCCTCTCCCCAAAGACCCTCCACCCCGCCCTGTGTGGCCCAAGTTAAGAGAGTCCTAGGTACGCAAATATGGTTTTCAAAATTGGCCTACGATAGCCAAGCATGGCTCACGATAGCCTCCGACAGACCTCCAAGAGGCCTCAAGGCAGCCCCCAGATGGCCCACGATAGCCGAACATGGCTCAAGATCGCCTCCGACAGCCTCATGGCTCAAGATAGCCTCCAAGGGGCCCCACGAAAACTGGCAATCCGAGAGGCCTCAAGAAGCCTCAAGATAGCCTCCAAGAGGCCTCAAGATGGCCTCCAAGGGGCCTCCAATGATTCCTGCTGGCCGTAGCTATTTTAGCTCAAGCCAGCTGTATCGGCAAGGGGGTTTTGTTGTTTTGCACAACTATGCACCACACCGTGATGGCGTTCATGAAGCATCAGCTCTGCGCCGTCAGCCTTGCAGAGGGTTCCAGCATCGCAAGCAGTTGGGTCGGTTATACCAAGACGGTCGACAACTACACGTACATCGAATGTGACAAGACGGACGCCAAGTTCAAGCGCTACGTGTCGCATGACTTCCCCATGTTGAAGGTGGTAACCCAGGCTCGCAATGTGGAGGCCGAGCGCTTGATGTGTCAGTTGGTGGCTCAGGGTGATGAAATGGTTGACCAGGAAACGCTTGAGGCTCTTCCGAAGCGGCCTCGGGAAGAGATGATCGACGGCATTGGCAGGAGCATCGCCGTGCACGTCACCGACAACGATGACAACGTCTACGGTGTCCGCGTGCTGACCACAGCCAACAACCGATCCAAGCTGTGGATCGAGTGCGCACCCACCGCGCTGCTCCTCCTTACGAAGAAGCCGAAGGCTCCCCTCGAGCCCACCTTCGAGCCAGTGATGGTTGCTCCCGGGGTGGGCTGGTGCAAGCGCCGTTCGGCGGTCAGGACGCAGTACTTCGACGCCGACGCGCAGAAATGGAGGACTAAATCCATGCGCGTCCCTCCTGGGGACGACCTTCAGAACCGCGTCGAGAAGATGGCGAAAGTGCTGGTGGAGTTCAGGCTGCACCACCACTCGGCGCCTGGGGTCGAGCAGGCGACCGATGCTGAGGAGGATCAGAAGGCCGATCAATGAGCTGTGGCCAGCGCTGTAGTCGCCCATGCTGCGTGCTCGATGTGCCTGTTCCCAAGGGGTGTGCTTGGCTAGGTAGGGTTGCGGTGCGAGCGCGCCGATGGGCATAGAGTATGATTTCTAGCTTCAGAGCGTGCGACTGTGAATGCATGTTGGGGTACACGTGCTAACGAAAACGCCCTACACACTAAGTCTTCGCATCGGCCTCGCAGGTCGACCCGCTCAGCATGCACTGTGGTCCAGGCCAATCTGCCCCAGCACCGCCGATGGGGTAGCAGTGTTCCAGAGGGCCCGCTAAAGTGATTTCGGTGCGAATGTCGGGCAGACATGGGCAAGGGCAACCGAGATCACACCAGTGGCAACGTCACGGAATGAGCTGCCTCAGCTCACGTCGGCAGCTAGATCGAACGATTGTGGGCCGTAGCAGCGTTGGTTCGAACCCTCCAGGGCGAGTTCGCACATAGCGTGCGAACTGCCGCTGGAGAGTTCGCACGTAGTGTGCGAACTGCCGCTGGAGAGTTTGAACATCTGCTGTAAGCATCTGTGAGGAGTTTGAACGGACGCGTTGGTGCATCAATCTTTGTCG